GGCCTCAAGAATTGCATATACATTACAATGCAGTATACTCGTACTTCATATAATAATAATAATAATAATAATAATAATAATAAAATTAAGATCTGTCTGTTTTTTTCATGGGCCTTGCAAATTTTAAAGATAATAAAGACTAGGCTTTCACTCATATCACAATATACATAATCCTTAAATGTAACTGATTTTCTAAAAGTCGTTCATGCACAATATATTTCAAACACCTGAGCAGTCTTTAAACCCATAACTTATATAATTTCATTTATAGTTTTTAAAATTTTTCTTCTTATTTAAGTAGTCTTTAATTATTATAACAATAATTAAAATTAAAACAATAATTATAACAGTAATTCTACTTTATTGTGCACTTGAACTGTCTATGATTGTAAGAAAAAGTTATTATCATTACATCATTTCTTAGTCAGAACATGGGGCTAATAAGGCTGGCAGCCTACAAATCCTCTCTCTCTNAAAAGTAAAACTGCCCTCCACTTATCGTGTTAACAAGGAAAGTGCACGGCGCCGGCATCGGCATCGGCATCGGCGACGGCATCGGCAACGACAGACACAGGTGATGGCAATATGTACAGACACTTCTGTGTCTGTACATAAAAATGTAAAATTTACTCAGAAAATTGATTTTGCAGTGAACGCTATTAGAAAAGGATAATTTCCTGTTAACAATTTAGTGCTCCATAAAAAAAGAAATATAATTGCCTTAAAAAGCATATGCAGTTAGTTATAAGTTATTAATGGGTTTGCAGCATTAACATGGAATTTCAATGCCACCCTACAAAAATTTAAGCAATAAACATCTTACAAGTGCATCAAAAACTAAAAATCATTATGTGACATTCATTAGCAGTAAACATTTGTTTATGCATAGGCTGTTCACAGGATCACTAACTAATTTGGAATGATGATTCTTGGGACCAATTTTTAGTAACTTGTTTCACCCAAAATTAAATTAAAATTTTTAAAAGCATTTTCATCTCACTTTTATTTTTTTGGCTCTGCATGCAAAAATTTCTACCGGGGCAGTGCCTTTATTACTGTAAAGAGCTGTTACTTGCCTCTAATAATCAATGGGTCCATTTGCAAAACACATTCACTGTTCCTTTTATTACAGTCGTATACGTATCAGTTTTTCACTCAATAAATATGTGCACAACCATGTATTTTTCTATATTTTTATTTTTTTACAAGTTTTTTTTAAATTCTTTTCTTTTTCTTTTGTAACCAAAACTATCACTTATCAAACCCTATCATGTTTTCATTTACATGTAGCAGGAGTGATAACATGGTTTGTTCTTAATATCACATTACCATGTGTGCATCATGCATCCCACAAAATCACAAAATGCATGGACAGGTTTTCTTTCATAATGTGTTTGTTGGCCACAGGTTCTTTCAGAGTAAATAGATCACCAATATTCATACGTGTGAACTTCAGCACTTTAATCATTTTGTTTGACAACCAAACGTTCCACTTGCCTGCATAGCAGTGGTGCATGGTTATCATTGCACCTTACTGATTAATGTCAGTCTCTGTACAAACTCTTCTTAATCAGGGGCAGATCCAGAGATATTTTCTAACACTTCCAAATTATCTGTTGATCCATCCTCCATTTTTGACCGTCTTCTGACAGAAAAAAATTAGATACCAGTCAATGTTAACTTGAAAATCTGGAAGACCCAGAAGACGGCCCAATCTGCCCCTGTTAATTATTGTCACTTCCCCACCAGAAGATATCTGTAGAGTATCTTTAAAGGCTGGGTAGTGTGTAATCACATGGGGAAATTCTTCCCTGTCTACACTGAGTATCATTTTGAGGGGTACTGATCATATCTACTCACCTTGTGTTTAATGGGCTACCTCAAATACACGCCACTAGACCAAAGTATCTTAATAAAATCAAGTTAAATGTGTCATTCTTGCAGACAACCTTGTCGTGCAGCAGGCACAAATTACTTGTAGCCTTGGACATGTGGAAAAAATGGATGCCACATCAGACAGAAGTCCTGGCTGAAAAATGTGATCTAACTTACAACTGTTACAGGTGTTAAATTGGCTTATTTGTTCTTTTGCCATATACTGCACTTGGTGTTAAATGATCTGAAGTTTGTCTCCATCCCCAGGGAAAGGGACTGTGGAAATCAGTAAAGAACCTATGTGATTAGACATGGGCAAGTGCTCCTAAACACCTGGTTTGGTGCAGAGTTGCCACCCTGTCACACACGACTTTTTCATGGAAACTTCTGTAAATAACCTAGGAAGCAAAGCTGCCAATTATACTGACACCAAAGCAGGGTAGAATTTGCAACAATCTTTACAAAAATTAAATAACTTTTGTAAAAACAATCTGACCATGCTAAATTTCAAATTGGACTTGCTTTATTACTCAATGAAGTAACACAGCAATTTTGAAGTACAATTTATAAAATGTTTGGCACTTAGGAGTACACACTTGCATATAAAATTGATAAATTATAAAAATAATCCAATCATGCTGAACTTCAAAAGGAATCAGCCTTATTTACCTACAAAGCCACTCAGTAATACTGAAGTAAAAGAAAAATATGGTTTGGCATTATCGAGTGAATATCTCTGAAATACATGCGAAAAGAAAAGCAACAACTTTCTCAAAAATCATCTGATTATGCTTGTTTTCACAAGGAACCTATTTTTTTAAGACGTAGTTTGTCTGTAAATTTTAAGTAAAAACAAAGCACAGTATGGCAGTTACAAGATATGACGTTTTGGACGACAGGAATGACGGCAACAACTAATACACCTAGAGACACAATGATCAGAATATATGCAGAAACATACATTATCTGTATATAAAAAAGAATAAATAACAATAAGAAACTTCCTTACAGGTAATATTATCTTAAAGTAGAACAAAGGCCAACAATATATTTCCATCTTCTTCATTATTAATTAATTGGTTCAATTGAGAATTAAAAAAAGAATAAGTTTCATACTTTTCACATTGATAACATCATTGTACCTGATTGCTCTTTTGAAGAGCTCAACATTTGCCAATGCAAGGACATAATAGATATCCACAGTTGCTTTGTTACACATTGCAAAAGGTGACTGAACTTGCTGTGATAAAGAGACCTCATAACTTGCGTATGCTTTTAACTATTTACGTCCCACAAATCCCTTGATGTCATGTTCCTGCAAAAAAGCATGTGATTTAAACTATGTCCTAGGTTTAAGAAACTTAATTCAGTTATAACATTGTGATGGAAATGTTAAAACTTGCCTAAAGCATTGGGCAAAGTTTACCAAATATGAGATAAAATGATGAAAAATTCCTAAAATATTTTTTCACATATTCAGAAAACTGCTACATGAGATTTTCAGTTGGAATTGAGAGAGAGAAAATCTGAAGAGAGAAAACCTGTCAGAGAGAAAACTTGAAATTAAGAGACTCCTGATGAGATCAGGAGAGCTGGCAGGTCTGACAACATAAGTCACAAGGGCTTTTGCTTATATATAAGACGAGCAAGCCTCATACTTTGAAAATATAGCAATTGCCCTTCATTCCCCATCTGCTCACCAGAGTACTGACATAATCTTTCTTCTTAGGTAAAGGTTATAATGAAATGAGCGGAGTAAAACACAGCTAATCTGTGGAGATTTAAACTCTTGAGGAAAATGCCATTCTGGTTTAGCATAAGTCAGACTAAACAACAGATAAAAAACAACAGACTGCACTGTGTAACCAAAATGCTGCAAATTTTAACAATGTTTAAGATATCATTAAGTACACACAGCTTCATGGTAATTAGAACCATATAAAAATGACAAGTTTTCTCAGATGAATTAAAAAAGTATGCTCTGGTGCATCAGACAACCAGTTGTAGCAAGAACTTCCTCTTTATATCAAGTAAAATAAAACTACAAACTGTTAGCTAGCCATGCTTGGTGAAGAAAAGCAACATTGTTGAAATAAAATGTTTTATTTGTGAACTGCAAAAAAAGTCATTGCAGTAGTTGGGATGAAAACTGTGTGGGTATGATGGACTATTCTCTCTTGGCTAACAAGTGTGTTCCCTTGATGTACAGTACAGACCTTTAGAGAAGTACACTAATTTAAATTTTAGCCACTTAAAATATAAAAATAAAAATTCCTAATCCTACCAACAAGACAATGGTACATGCATTTTATGCATAACTTCAATGTGACAGCACTGGCCAAGTTCTTCCAAAAACCTCAGTTAACTTTCAGATAAAAAGTTTACTTCAACAGGAACCCATAGTAGTTCACTAAAATAAATTATGTATTGCTACGAAACATTAGAAGCAACTTTCATGTTATAAAACAGTTCCATTTAATTAACTACTGCTGATTTATTTTGGGCCAAAGGAGGCTACAATTTTGGACTTTATAAACAAGTTTAGAACAATTTGTTCTTTTGTGAAACAGGCCTCAAGAATTGCATATACAGTAGTATACTCGTACTTCATATAATAATAATAATAATAATAATAATAATAATAATAAAACAAAATTAAGATCTGTCTGCTTTTTTTCATGGGCCTTGCAAATTTTTAAAGATAAAGACTAGGTTTTCACTCATATCACAATATACGTGTAAATAATCCTTAAATGTAACCGATTTTCTAAAAGTTATTCATGCACAATATATTTCAAATACCTGAGCATTCTTTTAACCTGTAACTTATATAACTTTATCTTAAGTTTATAAATTTTTTCTTCTTATTCAAGTAGTCTTTAATAATTATAACAATAATTAAAATTATAACAATAATTATAACAATAATGTTACTTTATTGTGCACTTGAACGGTCTATGATTCTATGATTGTAAAAAAAAGTTATTATCATTACATCATTTCTAAGTCAGAACATGTGGGCTAGTAAGGCTGGCAGCCTACAAATCCTATCTCTCTACATCTCTCTCTCTCTGTCGTTAGCTCTCTCTCTCTCTCTCTCTCCCTCTCCCTCTCTCTCTCACACACACACACACACACACACACACTGATGCTACCTAATCAAACTATCAATGATTATCACTAAATATCACATTTGCTGCAAATAATTATTGACACTGCAAGCCATAATTAATTTTGTGCTGGTGTCATGCTATGCTTTTTTATTTTAATTTTACATTTTCAAAGACGAATGTGATGGAATTCAAACATTTTCTTCTGTATGAACTTTTAACATGCACTCTCTTACTCACTTATGCATTACTTCATAAGATTAGATATGTTGTAAAAATCACATAAAATAACATTACATAAGTCCCTCTTCTTGTGCAATGTGTCCAAGATCTATCATTATTTACCCAATTCATGAGCCATGTTACCACTGCTAAGACTTGTTGACTTTCCTTACTTCAGACTCTTCATAACATGAGTCAAAACTAGATTTCCTAAGGGAATGCTCCAGCAGTTTTCCAAAAACTGAATTGTATGGATGAGCATATACTGTTGGTTTGTTATGTGAGTTAATCATAGGTTTTCTTTCATTAGCCCACTTAAATATGCTGCCTTCAAGATTATAAATGGGCAGTTCACTGAAAACAGTGCCTGAAAATGCAAAACGAAAAAAATTAACAATAATTAGGCGATTTACATAAAATATATTAGCACGTCCAAGATACTAGGTAACAACAATGGGACATGGGCATCAAAATTTAACATTAAAACCATCTTGTGAGCATGCTTTCTGCTTAGAATATGCATTGTATTTTGCTTCATATTCATAAATTTTGGAAAAGGTAACATTAAACAGGAAAGCGTCGATTAACTTCACAGAGTTGGGAAAGCACACTGCCATCCAAAATCGGCAGTTAAACAGCGATGGTAAGAAATTGCCCTGCAATAGGAAATCATACTTTGTACTGACATTGAAAACGGAAACGATGGTTATGCACAACAATCCGTTATCTTCACCCATCAAAATTTGCGATGAAGAACATTTTTTACATTTTTCTGTGTGTGCCGTAAATGATCCCTGAGATGACCAAAAAACATGACAAAACTATTTTGAGAGCTTTTTTCCATAATGTACAGCTGCAAAATAGACTGGTATGTCTGTGTCCCAGATTTAAGCGCTGTTTGAATATCATTTTTGGCTAAGAAAAAAATTTAAATACACAGCAATGTTTGAAAACACGAAATTGTTTGTTATATCATCAAATCCATCCCCGTTCACATGAAAGCACAGCTATTGTAATCGAGCACATAGGAATATTTTGACAGACTTTCAAAGATGATAACCCATTGTTGTTACCCAGTATCATGGACATGCAGATATATTTGACAAATGATCAATATGCAATTTTATTTATTTTACATCTTTTTCCTTTTCCTGATGTTTTAATGAAACAGCTACGTTTCACTCTTGTCACAAGAGCATCATCAAGCTGAATGCCCATAGGTCATTGGGTGTTGGTAGAACTGTGAATGCTTCTCACTAAGGTAGTAATTAGTGGAATGGCCTGCTTATAGATGTTGGTGATGATGATGCCCTTGTGACAAATGCAAAACATACTCGTTTCACTAATTTTTTTACCCAGAAGTTAGAGACTGCTATCACTAAAACATCAGTACATACAACTCCCTGGAACCATGATAAATCCTATTGATAGCATTCATTTCTTGTTTTCAAAGTTTCAACAACAATATTAACTGCAACTAATTTTCACAGGGAAGTATTTGATAATATATACTAATGCAGCTCAGTTAATACATTTATTAGACTATCATTTACTATTATCAAGAAAAAAATAATTTGTACCTTTGGCCTCAGAATCCATAGCTGTTTTCAGTTTCTCTGCCAGTGAAGAAGACCTGTAGCCAAGGGAACAGTAGCAAACTATTGCTTTGCATGGTTTCTCTGTAAAGATTTAATTAGGTACCAGTACCTAACCAGTATATAGATAGGTTTATATCAATTTCTGTTTATAACTGAGTTCTCTAATCACATTTGATTGCACCTGAATTGACTTCAGTGAATCATGCTAGAAAGGCACATAATACCAAACAAGGAGGTTGTTTTTACATCCATTAGTATTTCTGTTTGGTTGTCTGCTACAGTATTTATCAACCTAACTTAAAGCGTAATTGATGGATTTTGAAAAAATACTCAGGATTATGACAAAAAGGGGTTATAAATTAAATACTAACTTAGAAGACATGAGATTATGGTGGTGATGTGTACCACTATCTGGATACTGTAATTTTTTCAGGATTCTTCACCATCGCAAGACATGGCCAAGAAAATGACCAAAAATCTCAAAATGTGTCATTAGGATGTTGTGCAATAGATGTGCTCTCAACTAATTACAGATAGTTATCAGCGTAAAGTCTGGATATCATGCATCATTATGAACTTTTATAGATTATAAGCTCTGCCAATTAAGGATGTTATGTTACTGAATTTAATTAACTGATTGATTTACTAATAATAAATAACAATAATGAGAATTCAGTGGCCTTGGCACATTTAAGAATAACTATTATTTCTAGAAAGCAAATATTCATACTTATACTTACTGTTGCACTGCTCATTAATAAATTGTACTAGCTCAGTAATGTTTGATTTTCCAGGCTCTGTTAAAATGGCACCAGGTAAATGACTGACATCATATTCAACTTTGTCACGTGCATCCTGAAGTGAATAAAGTCAAGTCTTATAAAATATTATTTTGAAGGCACTGGGGGATTTTTGTTTTGGAAGACCAGTATCCATGTATGACTTCAACATGTCATGTTTAAATATATTTCAACTGCATAGTAAGAAACAGAATTAAAAATCATGCAAGGAAGATCATACAGTGTACATGTACAGTGTATGTAATTGTAAAAGGCAGTGATTAATTTCATTTGAAGCAATTGAAATTAATAATAATAGCAGTGTTATAAATAACCCAATTATTGAAATTGACATTAGTTACAGGTACATGCACTAGTACAATTAATTAAGGCAAGCATGGAAATGTGAGCAAAACCCCGTTCTATTAAGTATTTTTCCATTTATTGTTAACTTGCCCTTAAATCTCATCATGCCTTGAACTTAAATATATCAAACAGAAACCAGTCTTTACATAGTATCAAAGGATGAGGCTCTGTACAGTAGTTTGGATATGCATATCAATGACTCTTACAATAACAGGTACACACTGTATCCAAAATGTTATGCATACCCAGTACACTCGTACTGTATAACAGCACCTTCCTTTCTATATGGACCCCCCCCCCCCCAACTAAATTAAACAGAGACCTACATTGTTAAAGACGTTTTAGGGTATTTTTAACCTTAACGCCGTGTCACAACTATCAGATATGTTTACCAAAAGTATCACTTGCTGCTCTGAGCCCGCTTCTCCACCTCCTGTGGGGCAGTTGAGCCACTGGTAGAGCAAGTCAGTGCTCAAGTTTCGGACTTGAGGGAACTTTGCCTTTAAACTTTTGACTGTCAGCCACATGGGCATAGACATGCTGCTCTCAGATTTAGCTGCACCATCACTGTCACCCGATGCCATTTTGAGAGCATATATTAGTAGTTTCGTTTTTGCATCTTTACTAATTCCATGCACTGTACAAACTTCTATTGCGCTCAAGTTTGTCGTCACTTCCTGTTGACAATCTCCGATTCATGATCTCGTTTGCGGAAACTACAGTCGGTGGTTTGTCCATGGTTCAATCTGGGAATTATATCAGGGAATTGCAGGGCCGTAGCCTGAGGAAAATGCCAGGGGGGGGCAGTATGCACGCACGAGGGGGCAAAGGGCCCGAGGGGGGGGAGGGTGTGGGAGGGGGTGTCCCCCTCTCACGGTGTGGAAATTTTTTTAAAAACTGTATGTATAATAATGCATTCTGGTGCATTTTAACTGTTATTTATTGCTCAATCAGAAGTCAGAAATTGTGGGTTCATTTTGCCATAAGTACAGTCATTTTTCAACACAACACGCCAATTGGACTTCATTTCGTAGATTGTCTCAGAATCAGGAATAACGTTTCTTCTTCTGTGGACAAGCAAGAGAGCCAATCCGTGAATAATACCAACTTTGCAATTATTTTTTTTTACCTTTGCGATTATTTTTTTGCACCTCAAATCCCAGGGGGGGGCAGCTGCCCCCCCTGCCCCCCTGGACGCTACGGCCCTGTAATTGCATCAATATATTTGTCTGATATAGACTAGAAATTAAGCAAAGATCTCTAAATAAATAAATTAATGTGATATAATACGTAAAATAAATTTATGGCGTTTTCATGGATTGCTATCTTATTAAAGAAAAGGGTCCCAACTTCCACCGACCCTAGGGCCAACTTGCCCCACCATGTGGCATGTTGGCCCACCTGACATCAGGTGTGTTTTTGTCATGTGGGATTGCATTTACAAATAAATGACCGTAGATCGTAGATAATTCCTTGGGACTCGTTCTAAAACCAAGTTTTGCTGCTCTAACTTATTCTCAGTTGGCTATAGGCTACAAGGCCAAAAGTGTCAGCGTCTAGCTGGTCTCCCCTAATAGGGCCTACATACATGTATATATCTTGTGGGATCACCTCTTTTCTTGTACATATTATATTATTAAATTATAAAGTTGAATCCAGCTCAGCAGCAGAAATTGCTCAATGAAAAACAAAAATAGGTGGTTGTAAGTTGAAACTTGGAAGGAAAAAAGCGCAGGCCAACTGTTCTCACCCCCCCCCCTTATGTTTGCAACTCCCTCCCCCTCATGGTGTAAATCTTTAATCAGTCACTATAATAAGCATGTTTCAAGCAAAGTGATATCCATGCTGATAGCCTTCATGTATTACCTAGTAACTTAGGCGTGAAGATCACTTGAACTGTAAGAAATCCGAAATTCAATTTGTTTAACCCACGCCAGACTGTGTACCAAAATTAAATCACGAAAACCTACCATTTAGAATACGCATCACTGCTCGTCGTTTGTAGTGCACTGGGAAAGCATTTCATTAATACACAATAATTAAAATTAAGATGAATCCCAAAGGAGAAAAGTGTGGTTGAATTTTTTTACTTGGTGGCACTATTGGATGAAACGCGAAGTTGAAAGTTGTGACCAAGAAATTCAAATCTGGTGAGAGCATCTTAGCAATCAGTGTGTTTGGTCAGCCTTTACAAAGTTGGCCTATTCGTCTATCCAAAAAATAAAAAGTCGACAGACATGAAGACGAATAGCGTGTTAAAATTTTTCCACTTATCGTCAAACCAATCGNATAGGGAAGTATTTGATAATATATACTAATGCAGCTCAGTTAATACATTTATTAGACTATCATTTACTATTATCAAGAAAAAAATAATTTGTACCTTTGGCCTCAGAATCCATAGCTGTTCTCAGTTTCTCTGCCAGTGAAGAAGACCTGTAGCCAAGGGAACAGTAGCAAACTATTGCTTTGCATGGTTTCTCTGTAAAGATTTAATTAGGTACCAGTACCTAACCAGTACATAGATAGGTTTACATCAATTTCTGTTTATAACTGAGTTCTCTAATCACATTTGATTGCACCTGAATTGACTTCAGTGAATCATGCTAGAAAGGCACATAATACCAAACAAGGAGGTTGTTTTTACATCCATTAGTATTTCTGTTTGGTTGTCTGCTACAGTATTTATCAACCTAACTTAAAGCGTAATTGAAGGATTTTGATAAAATACTCAGGATTATGACAAAAAGGGGTTATAAATACTAACTTAGAAGACATGAGATTATGGTGGTGATGTGTACCACTATCTGGATACTGTAATTTTTTCAGGATTCTTCACCATCGCAAGACATGGCCAAGAAAATGACCAAAAATCTCAAAATGTGTCATTAGGATGTTGTGCAATAGATGTGCTCTCAACTAATTACAGATAGTTATCAGCGTAAAGTCTGGATATCATGCATCATTATGAACTTTTATAGATTATAAGCTCTGCCAATTAAGGATGTTATGTTACTGAATTTAATTAACTGATTGATTTACTAATAATAAATAACAATAATGAGAATTCAGTGGCCTTGGCACATTTAAGAATAACTATTATTTCTAGAAAGCAAATATTCATACTTATACAGTACTTACTGTTGCACTGCTCATTAATAAATTGTACTAGCTCAGTAATGTTTGATTTTCCAGGCTCTGTTAAAATGGCACCAGGTAAATGACTGACATCATATTCAACTTTGTCACGTGCATCCTGAAGTGAATAAAGTCAAGTCTTATAAAGTATTATTTTGAAGGCACTGGGGGATTTTTGTTTTGGAAGACCAGTATCCATGTATGACTTCAACATGTCATGTTTAAATATATTTCAACTGCAGAGTAAGAAACAGAATTAAAAATCATGCAAGGAAGATCATACAGTGTACATGTACAGTGTATGTAATTGTAAAAGGCAGTGATTAATTTCATTTGAAGCAATTGAAATTAATAATAATAGCAGTGTTATAAATAACCCAATTATTGAAATTGACATTAGTTACAGGTACATGCACTAGTACAATTAATTAAGGCAAGCATGGAAATGTGAGCAAAACCCCATTCTATTAAGTATTTTTCCATTTATTGTTAACTTGCCCTTAAATCTCATCATGCCTTGAACTTAAATATATCAAACAGAAACCAGTCTTTAAATAGTATCAAAGGATGAGGCTCTGTACAGTAGTTTGGATATGCATATCAATGACTCTTACAATAACAGGTACACACTGTATCCAAAATGTTATGCATACCCAGGGGGGCGTCTCGATAGTCCGAAGGTTCATTGGTCCGAAGGTTCATTGGTCCGAAAAGTGGTAACATTTTTATCGATTTTTTAATCAAGGGTTCATTGGTCCGAAGGTTCTACAGTGAACATTCGGACCAATGAACCTTCGGACTATTGAACCTTCGGACTATCGCTACGGCCCCCATACCCAGTACACTCGTACTGTATAACAGCACCTTCCTTTCTATATGGACCCCCCCCCCCCAAACTAAATTAAACAGAGACCTACATTGTTAAAGGCGTTTTAGGGTATTTTTAACCTTAACGCCGTGTCACAACTATCAGATATGTTTACCAAAAGTATCACTTGCTGCTCTGAGCCCGCTTCTCCACCTCCTGTGGGGCAGTTAAGCCACTGGTAGAGCAAGTCAGTGCTCAAGTTTCGGACTTGAGGGAACTTTGCCTTTAAACTTTTGACTGTCAGCCACATGGGCATAGACATGCTGCTCTCAGATTTAGCTGCACCATCACTGTCACCCGATGCCATTTTGAGAGCATATATTAGTAGTTTCGTTTTTGCATCTTTACTAATTCCATGTACTGTACAAACTTCTATTGCGCTCAAGTTTGTCGTCACTTCCTGTTGACAATCTCCGATTCATGATCTCGTTTTCGGAAACTACAGTCGGTGGTTTGTCCATGGTTCAATCTGGGAATTATATCAGGGAATTGCATCAATATATTTGTCTGATATAGACTAGAAATTAAGCAAAGATCTCTAAATAAATAAATTATTGTGATATAATACGTAAAATAAATTTATGGCGTTTTCATGGATTGCTATCTTATTAAAGAAAAGGGTCCCAACTTCCACCGACCCTAGGGCCAACTTGCCCCACCATGTGGCATGTTGGCCCACCTGACATCAGGTGTGTTTTTGTCATGTGGGATTGCATTTATAAATAAATGACGTTGCAGTCGTAGATAATTCCTTGGGACTCGTTCTAAAACCAAGTTTTGCTGCTCTAACCTATTCTCAGTTGGCTATAGGCTACAAGGCCAAAAGTGTCAGCGTCTAGCTGGTCTCCCCTAATAGGGCCTACATACATGTATATATGTTGTGGGATCACCTCTTTTCTTGTACATATTATATTATTAAATTATAAAGTTGAATCCAGCTCAGCAGCAGAAATTGCTCAATGAAAAACAAAAATAGGTGGTTGTAAGTTGAAACTTGGAAGGAAAAAAGCGCAGGCCAACTGTTCTCACCCCCCCCCCCTTATGTTTGCAACTCCCTCCCCCTCATGGTGTAAATCTTTAATCAGTCACTATAATAAGCATGTTTCAAGCAAAGTGATATCCATGCTGATAGCCTTCATGTATTACCTAGTAACTTAGGCGTGAAGATCACTTGAACTGTAAGAAATCCGAAATTCAATTTGTTTAACCCACGCCAGACTGTGTACCAAAATTAAATCACGAAAACCTACCATTTAGAATACGCATCACTGCTCGTCGTTTGTAGTGCACTGGGAAAGCATTTCATTAATACACAATAATTAAAATTAAGATGAATCCCAAAGGAGAAAAGTGTGGTTGAATTTTTTTACTTGGTGGCACTATTGGATGAAACGCGAAGTTGAAAGTTGTGAGCAAGAAATTCAAATCTGGTGAGAGCATCTTAGCAATCAGTGTGTTTGGTCAGCCTTTACAAAGTTGGCCTATTCGTCTATCCAAAAAATAAAAAGTCGACAGACATGAAGACGAATAGCGTGTTCAGGGCCGTAGCCTGCGCAAAATGCCAGGGGGGGCAGTAAGCGGACACGAGGGGGGGAAGCACCGTGGGAGGGGGAAGGGTGTGGGAGGGGGTGTCCCCCTCCCACGGTGTGGAAAATTTTTAAAAAATGTATGTATAGTACTGCATTCTGGTGAATTTTACTGTTATTTATTGCTCAATCAGAAATTAGAAATTGCGATTATTTTTCTTGCACCTCAAATCCCAGGAGGGGCANCCTACCATTTAGAATACGCATCACTGCTCGTCGTTTGTAGTGCACTGGGAAAGCATTTCATTAATACACAATAATTAAAATTAAGATGAATCCCAAAGGAGAAAAGTGTGGTTGAATTTTTTTACTTGGTGGCACTATTGGATGAAACGCGAAGTTGAAAGTTGTGACCAAGAAATTCAAATCTGGTGAGAGCATCTTAGCAATCAGTGTGTTTGGTCAGCCTTTACAAAGTTGGCCTATTCGTCTATCCAAAAAATAAAAAGTCGACAGACATGAAGACGAATAGCGTGTTAAAATTTTTCCACTTATCGTCAAACCAATCGTGATTTCGCGTCGAAATTAGCAAAACCCTGAGCATAACGGAGATGCACCAGTAGTTTCCTACAACTTGTCGTCATTCTCCAGAGACAAAAGAAGTTAGCTCACGCAAAGCTTGGTGTGTGGGAGAGCTGCATTAATGTTACTGACAAATGTCAAATACGGCGGAAATGTTCACTTCGTGGGGGCCAATTTATGTATATAGACTAGAATGAGCAAGTACAATTATTCTTTTCACAAGTAGGTGTATTTAAAATAAAAGCCAGATACCAAAAACCATTCGTTATATGGTTGACTGCATAAGCTGTGTGACTTATATATCTGGTGGATTAAAAGGTGCCGAACATCGAAATTGATTTCTCCAAAAATCGAATTTTAATTTTTCCAATAACTGTCTAGTGTTTTATTTCAGTCATTTGATAAAGATGCCGTCCCGGTAGAGGTCAAAACATGCAGTGTATTAGATAAAGAAACTGAGGCTAAGTGAGCGAAAGAAGGCCGATTACTCAGCATTTCTGAGAAATTGGCAAAGTTTAAAAACACTTCATTCGACCAAAGAAAAAATATTGTGTTTCTAGTCATGAAAAAAAAATTAATAGTGCGGCGGTGCATTTTTCTTTCTTTTATATTTTCTATATACATTCAATCTAGACCCCCACAATTCAGGTTTCACCCCTTGTATGTTATGCAAAATGGTTAGTTATTTTAACTTTTCCTCAGTTTAAATGCCTAGAATAAAAAAAAAACATGTAAAATATATTAAAGATAAACATGTAAAACTTATTTCAGCTCACCTCTTAATCCGCACACCTGAAGCAAATCACACTACATTGGTTTTAAAGCAGGTGCACTTTTACCAAATACGCTGCTGTTACGGATATAATACCAAGAGTGTTTTACCATCTTGATAATTCATTATTCAAAAAATATTGACAAATCTTAATTAAGTACATGAACACACGTGACCCTGTTAGTCCAGGTCTTGTCATCTCCCAAGCGTCGGTAGCGTAGGGTTTACCAGAGGGACATGTAAACAAGGTTAATGGTAGTAAATTGGTAATAGGAACATAGCAAAAACAGTAGAGTGATTCAAATCCAAGAGGTTTATTGATAACATGCAAATCTCATGAGAAGCACAACGTTTGCCTTATTGCCAGGTAGAATGTCTTTTGCTACATATCGTCCCTGTCTGTTTGCGCAAGAAAATGCAGTAGTGCGTTTAAAGGGATAATAACTCTTCGTATGATATCCATATTTCACAATAAAAACATTGTGAACAACTCTCAGAAATATAATATATATTTTTTTACCACAAAAACGGCAGTTATAGCTATTATTCTGATATCTGAGCTTGTGTTCAGATCACGTGACCTCCATTGATGTCTGTACCATAGACGTAGAGATGGCTGTACTCAGTTATAATCTCTTAAGAGATGTTAACAAAAAACCAGGGACTAACTTTGAATGTAAAAATGGATTCATTAACCATTGGTAAATATGGGAAAATTGTTGTTTACTCCAGGAAAATTCTTTTTTTTTTTTTTTTTTTTTTTTTTTTTTTTGCCAAAACGAAGAGTTATTATCCCTTTAAGTTAATGTGATGAGATGTAACACAGACAGCAAATAGAAGGAATGGCAGCAGGAAAAATGGGTTCTCTCTTTCCAATGTGCTATATCTTTTTTGTCAATGTCGTATTTACGACGTAAGATTCATTGGTTTCGACTGTAAGCAAGAAATTTATATTGGAATGCCTTTTTTGCAAATACCTCATTTCATGAAATTAACAAGGAGGTTAGTTTCCGTCAGTCAGTTTAATATGTGAATATTGATATTGATACATATAGTATATAATGAGGGAGAAGTAAAACTTTCCACGAAAGCTTTCGATCGGCAAACTAATGTTTTAATCTCATTTCAATTTGGCCAATCCAGCAACGCATATATTAGTTCAAAGGCATTAAAACTTATAGCTTTGAACGAAAATGATCCATCTTCCTTTCAAAGTCTTTTCATTAACATTGCAAATTGCTCATTGTCTTCCATCGATTGACCTTTAGTTTCACTGGAAATTCAAACAAATGAAACGCTGGATTCGCGTAATATTTTACTGATACAGAGAAGTTGGGCTTGGTCAAACAATACTTTGTAATACCTGTATTCCTATTAGTACCATGTTGTTTAACCATTCTAAGACTATAATTTTTACACCTTGGATTGAAGTATATATCGGCCTTTTTTATCTTGTCAATTTTTTAAATAAATGTCTGAATGACTCACAAGATCTTCTGACATTCGTCAAATTGCATCAATGAAATACGTTTTTGTTTTCAATGAATGACACAACATTTGACCAATGTGCTCATTAGCGTTATCAAAATAACTGATCAAAGCTTAGAATAGGTATTTAGATCTAAAACACATTTCAGGAGTCACCTATAAGTTTTTGCTTTGCGACTTAGCATTTGTAGAAAATTGGTACAAAAATTTTGGTGCACACTTTGATATTTTTCATAATGCAGTTCAACTGACGCGCACAGTTCATCGACACATCTTCTTTTAAATATGAATAATAATATAATGGGCATTTTCAAAAATTACATTACTATGCAAAGTGGAAACTTATAGGAGTGAGCATAAAAGTTGTCTTAAAAGGAATTTAATAGTATTTCTAAAATATAATGTCTAAAAATGTTTGTGTGGATGCAATTTTTTCCTTTTTTTCCTGAAAATGTAGCTCTTCATGCCAACATGCCCCTCCCCGCTTTTTGCTTCAAAATTTATGCCAAATGCGTAGGGATAAAAACATTGAAAATTCAAATTGTCAAATCATCTACTACATGATAAGTACAATATCTAAAATTTAAATAATCGATTAAACGAAGAAATATTTCAAAATATAGATCTTTCGTTAATCAGTCAACCATCTCTCCATCGCTTGTGTCACAGAGGTCATCTTGAAGAGGAAGAGCGTTGCTGGTTTCAGAGCTGGAAGATGGCGAGGAAACTTCTTCGATGACATCCAGACCCATAGGGAACTTATCATAAGATTCTGGTGACACAAGAGCGCCATACTTTCCTAAAACGGGCGATGCTTGCTCGTCATGGTTCAAATCCCGCGCCAGCCAAAAGATCAAAGCCAGGAGAACCAAATGAATAGTTGCCTCGAAACAGAAAGTGAAACCGGCGAAAATATCCACGGTAGCGGCGTAGAAGTTGGTAAATACTATAGCGCCAACAAGATTTGCCGTAGTTTCGCCGACGCTGAGAATCGAAAACGCTTTCCCAACGTCCTCGTGATTCACCGCTTTACTCATCTGCGACTTCAATCCAGAGACGATCATACCGCTTACTGAGGCTATGACGACTGACACGTAGATTAGCCAAGTTTCAGTATTGAATGCCATGAAAACCAAACGGCAAACTTTGAAAGTCAAAGCTATTTTCACTAATGTCAAGTCTTTCATTCCTAGCACACCTGACAAAATTGGCAGAATAACCATCAAGAAGAGGCCAAGAGATGCGTAGTCCAAAGCCAATAGGTACCCATATTGAGCCTTGGTCCAGTGAAACGGCCTATGTTTTACAAATAATAAAGTTATGTCCACTTCCCCGGCTTTGCAAGCTTGATTTACCACAATGGTTATAAAGAACAAAATTAGGTGGCATCGTTTGTTACCTTCCCTAGGCTTACACATTACAGATAACGACTCTGTTATATGCGAAAGTTTGAAAGGTGATGCTGCCAGAGCAGACTCAATGACAGAGTCCTCTACGCTCTCCTTGAGGCAAAACACTGTCATCAGGACTACCAAAGCGTTGATGACCGCCACACAGCAAAACACCACGTCAAAACTGAACATACCTAACATAAACCCAGCAGTCAAAGATCCAGCAAAAAGACCAAAGAAATTCATTGCTAGAAGACCGCCCAAACGTCGGGTTCGCGCTTCAGAGTCACTGACATCGGTAACGTAGCTGTGCACTGCCATTGTTATAATGGCGCTCTTCCCAAATATGCCATTCACTGTTGTACCGCAGAGGATGTAAGCCACAGAGTTCTCATTCTCGTCACTCAGGATGTAGAGACAAACGGCCAAGGTACTTCCGATACACGGGAGCATAATCGGTATTTTTCGCCCTATGCGATCGCTCCAGGCTCCGCAAAATAAGCCCAAAAATATTGCCGGTAGGTTTAACAATATTTTGTAGTACATCAAATAGTTCGCCGATTTAGCTTGGATGTAATCTTCCTCTGCCGGGTGACGTTGGAGAGCGCGACAGATGGTGCTATTTGGAAACTCGTCCAGACACAGCCCTTGGTACATGTACAGTTTTACTGTGGGTTCCAGCATAGATTCGCCCATTTTATACATGAAAAAAATAATTTCGGGAACAAACCGCGTTGACATACACGTCCCCTTCATTCTGTAGATTTTTACTCTGTAGGAAAATTCCAAATCAACGTTCTTCTAACTTGAATCCACGCAAAAAGTGATTTAAGGGAGGCTAGAAGTCTCTTGAAAAGTTCAATATGCAGATTAGATTTTAGTCAAATCTCTACACAAGTTCACCGGAGGCATTATTCTAAAATGTTGTAGATGAGTGCTTTTACAACACAAAAGCAGATAAAACAGCTTTCGTGGTCCAATGAACGCGTAAACTGTCCTGTTCTGTCTTTGAACTGAGCTACGCCTTGCTATGTTGGAATGTTTGATCTCATAACTCAAAGCGGATTTATTCCAATCTTTCGAAGAAATTGAAATATTCGGTTTCAAGGTGTGAAACCCTATTCCAACACAATAGCTTCGCTTCCGTGGTCGCCTTTCATCTTCGACCCCTACTCGGAACTCGTTTGCTGCCGCATGTTTTCTGTGTAGTCTGCTGGGCAATATTCTCCTCGCCTGCTCGTTCTGGCACAAATAAATCTCACTTTTATTTGTGTACTAGCGCTTATTGATCATTTAATCTTTGAGGATAATAGAAGATTTCTTAGTAATAATCCCAGCAAAATTATACTCGTTGAACAGAGATCTCAAATAGATTGATCATTGCCCTGCCATTGGTGGGAATCCCGATTTTTGATTGCATCTTTAGCTAGGAGGTATTACAACGGTATTGAATCGATAGTCTAGGCCGCTTTAGCTTAGGCTGTCGCTGCTGAAGGAGAGTCAACACTCCTCCGTCAGAAAAAATGGTCTCCAATTTCCTTTTCTCAATTATATACATCCAAGTGTAATTAAGGTTTCAAAATACCGCAAAACCCACGCCGACGCTTTGGTTTTCTGACCCTACTAATAAACAATGCCTTGGAGTCGACGGAAGGTTAAAGGCTCATAAAGGAATAAGAAATTACTAGTTTGCCTGGAGTAAACATAGCCAATTATGAAATGTCATAATGCACGATAACAGCAAACATGTATGGAAAGCTCTTAAACAAAATGGATCAATATGTCCGAAATAAAATCAGTGGAACAGTTAATCTAATGCAATCACTGTACATTGGATGTAGGCTAACATACAGTAAGTTATGATATTCTTTCCCAGCAGATTTTTATGTTATAAATTCAAACAAGAATTCCAAGTCATGGTCATTGTGTAGTTAAGAAATGTTTTTTTCTGCACTGGATTTTTTTTCAAGAAAGATCGGAATTATACATGTCTATATTAAATACAAAGCCGTAGACTGCTTGGGTTGTCCTACCCCCGAGATTGTCTCAGATATTTGAGGATTTGTTCTTGGGCATTTCTATTAACGGGTAGGGTTTTCTCTTCTGCCAGTCGATCAGAAGTTTCTCACTTTTCCTTCGGTCAGTGTCCTTTAGAGGACCACAGGCGGTAAAAACAATCTTGCCAAAATAGTTGCGTCTGAGCAGCAAAAATGAATGGCAGCAGTTTTCGTTCTTTTTTCAGCAATGTATTATTTCAAATCATGTTTAAATAATAGAAATCTAGAGATTATTGCAATGGATCAGTAAAAAACGACGATACGAATAATTCTAATGTTACGTTAGCTAAATATGCAGTCGTGCAAACTACCGGTTCCACACTGAAAGAATTGTCGTCGACAAAATTGTGCGTTCTAAGCTATATCTCTCAAATCTTTTTTTTAAACTTCCAAAAAAAAAAATCATTCCAGTATATCTTCTGAAATATAAATTCGATCGGTGTTATTTCGTTTGAAGTTATCAGTAGAATCCACATCTTTGAGGTACCCATGTTTGCATATTTTAGCGGGACATGTAGGCCACCAGAAACTGCCCCCGCCCTTAGCATTTTTCACAGCCTACGACCTACCCTTCAATAGCAGTCAAACGCGCACGGCTTCCGAGTAATTGCCAAGATAGAACCGGTTTAGAAGCTCAAAGAGAAATATTTCCCATACATAAGCTTTAAATCCATTCGCGTTCAAAAATGATGGAGAGCGCTTTCTTAATGCATTTAATAATAATCATAACTCAAAACAACGACAAGACCAGTAAAGTAGATATTAATGGAATGAAAGCCATTGCCTGCCATCTTACACAATAAATACATTAAAAACGGATCATGAAGTCATTGATTGAAAATGGAAATTGTGAAAATCACGTCTGTACATTGAACGTGTCTATCTAAATTCCTGCTTGATATCCGCTCAAACATGTGATTTTCCCCAAAACCTTTTCTGGGTTTAAGATTTTTGCATTGAAATATTGTTTGTGCAGAATACACTAAAATAGAAACATATCAAACGCCAGCGGTTATTCCGACCTTGTTTCAGGTGGAAGTATTCAACTTTTCTTCGTTCCTAATCCACAGTGTCTAATACGTAAAACGAACACGCGGCTCATAGATTATGGACATCATGCTCGAAATTCTGATTTCAAATTAAGGTAACTTTTGCTTTGCCTTTTGATTATAAAGAAACTTTCCCAACATAGTAACACACGATAAAAGTCAAGACTGAGCGCGAGATATAAACCATTTTTGACCTGTAGAAAGCGCTTCCTGGGAGTGAATCTTTTTAATTTGCTAGGGTTTTTTAATCTCTAGCAATTGCTATTCTGTCGGCCTTAATTGCTGGCGCAGCGTTTGCAGAAGTAACGTTTACAGTAGCAGGTCAAAAAATTATTCCACATAATGAAAAGCACCATCTTGTAGTAGTTATGAGTGCTTATTTAATTTAAACAATAGTTTTGAAACAAAATTTAGGAATCGGTTATGTCATTGTCATCTTTAATTGATGTTTTATTACATAATATATTACAGGTAAGCCGTTTGTGAACGATTCGCTTCAGTAACAACTTGCGAGTAAGAAACAATATTTACTACCGAAAAACCTGTAAAAATTCTTTCACATCTTTATTAGCGATTTTGTTTATACTCAAAGTATATAGTGGGTGCTTTTACTTTAACAAATAATAAGTGGGCAACATCTCTACTCAACAGGAAAAAATCAATTATATCTCATCTTAAACTCTTAATGTGAAAAAACTATCACTCCTTTTAAATTACACCTTGCATTTCATCAGGCAGCTGTCCTTTAAACATTAGACAGAAAGACCATTTCTCTTCCAGCAAATTTCACTACCACTTTTGTTATTCAGTGATCCAAAAGAAGTTAATATGAGTTTCTGTCTTCTATTATTTCCACTCAGCATGTAAATCTATCCATCTGAATATGGTAAAACATTTTCCCCAAATGCTTCAAGAAAGTCGCAGACAAAAGATGCATCTTTATATCATGCCAGCCATTTTCTCAATATCCTGGATCAGTTTACGGTTGTATTCCCGATAATCAATAGGTGTGGCGTTGACAACAATGGTCTTTAGTCTGCTTTCATCCTGAAATAAAAACCCAGAACATTATTGGAGGTTCTTTTATTGATGGGTTTTTGATATGTGGCCCTGAAGTAATGTTAAAACACAGAGTCTGTGCATATTGGGAGTCGGAACAAATGCTTACATGCTTGTCATGTTGGAATTAAAAGCCAATAACCCACAAGTCATAAAGTGCACAGGCATGAAAGAAGTCCCACATTTTAAACAATGCTAAAATATATAATTCTGGACCAAGTTTTATCAATGCTGGAGAGTGCTATCCTCTGTGTTAGACTATCCATTGAATGAAATTGCTATTCGATGCACAGTTATCCTAAGGATAGCAACCATTTTCAAACACTGGATAGCAACATCAGGGACAAAAATAAGAATTGAATGTTTGGAAAACATGACTTTACCCACAGAAAAAATTTCCAGGGGATAATTTTATCCATTGGATAGTGTTATCCATAGGACAGTGCTTCCAGCATTGATGAAACTGGGTCCTGATTTGTATATCTTAAGTTCAAGCTTAGTTCTTCAAAAATAATTCAAAATGGGGATTCTGCTTTTGTTGAAGATGCTTCCAGAAACATTTTCCCTGATGACAAGTGAACACATGAACAAGAGTGAAATGCTGTCAAAAAAGTACAAGAAAATATCAATTTAAAGACCCAAGATAATATTACAGGGGGGAAAAATAGACATCAAGATCTACATCTTTTCATGGTACTTCTTCAAATGAAGTATGCATTCAACTAAAATCTATGCACTTAACTAGAATCTACATATCTGTTGAGTTCCAACTAAATCAAAACTTGTGCCAATATCTTACAGTCCGCATCATTCATTTTGTCACTTGTAAGTACACTTGTGCAGTTTAAATAATTTGGGCATGCCATCTCAGTGAAAAATGTATTCAGCCCTCGCTCTGAACCTGGCCTAGTGTTAGGTCTTTTGCAAGACATCATCTGATATGCGTGGCCTTCTAAAATTATCATTCTATGAACAACTTAGTCCCTTGGAAGGAAATGTTATTCATCTGAAGACCACACAAAATGTGCTTACAAAAACATTGACAAGATGTGAAGCACATTTTGAACTTTGGATGAAATTCCCTCCTCCCTCTGCAGATCATAATATGAATGGAAGTATACATGGCAAATTGCTAAGTTACCTTGTAATACAAAACCTTTAAGACCCCCCAGTGTCTGAAAGTACATGCAAAAGCTGAGAATTACTTCCTGGATTGAAAACAAAATAAAATGCTTACATTATATGTCTCCTGCTTGGCCCTGAGCTTGAATGTGTAAGACTTGAAAGTGGCCTCCTGGAATATCTGATCAAAGCTGGCCTCATCCTGTAATGAATATGTGATAACTTAATCTTCAATTTGCAAAAGTATGTTTTCCATTCCCATTATTCTATGCAATTTGCTACATGAAGTTAAATATCATTTACAAAATATCAAAATTGTATGATGTGACAGTGCCATATGTATGACTATTTAAATTATTTTAAAAAGGTACAAAAATTGTCTAACAAAATTTTATAAGGTGACCAAGACAATATCTCATTACTGATGTCATTGTTCCAATAGGGATCAGCCTAACAAAAGACTGAATTGGTACTGTTGAGCAATACACTGTAATTTGACAGCACTTATGAGAAAACAACCAAAAAATATTGGATGCTAAATGCTGTCTGCTTTTATGAGTTGCCACACATTTGCCTTTTTTCCTTCAAATCCTGCAAAATCTCCTTTGATTTAACTCCCTGAGACTTTGGGCACTTTCAGATGATTCTCTTTGGCAAAACAAATGCTCTTGGTGATTGCAACCTTGCATGTCTCAACTATCACAATTATAGGCAGTAAGCCAAAATAAATGTACATCAGAATCTTCCTAAAATGTATTAGGAAATTTAGTTAGGTAGAACATATCTTTGTAAAGTAGGCCAATTTTTGATTATTATATATCATAATTTTTTCCTTAACCTTGAAGGAACATCAAACAATTTAAACACAGGACCGCTACATGAATCAAACAATGCCACAGTCTTTATCATAAACCTTCAAAATCCGGGCATTGTTCAGGAACTATTTAAGACCCACACGGTGCGATTGAGCAACACATCTTAAGCGGAATCATATACACAATAAGGGAAGTATTTAGCCTGATTTCCGTGCCACATGTTGCATAACATATACAGAACCTATTTTTACTCTTAACTGAATATCTTATTCTATCCTGCAACAAAGCTTCATCTGTTCTACCTTCTAGAGAACATTCCTGGATTCTTTACACAACCCACCCAAGTTCCACTAAAAAGAGAAGATAAAGCTCTCTTCACAATTTAAATAGAGGAGAGTACAATATTTTTCTACTTGGGCTATATCAGCTCAGTAATGATGGTGGGAGGGGGACATCTCTTGTCAATATATTCATTTAATGTTGGAGTTCAGGTTTTAAAAACTAAAATAAAATTAAATAAACAACATAAAAATGATAAAATATTCTCAGAATGAAAACACGTCTAAACTAGGAGACAATTCTATACGATAATGAACCAGCATTTGCAACTGATCAGTAGTATCATAAAAGGCTTGCACTTAACCACTCCCTTAAAAACATAATTAAACAATCCCCTTATCACCTTAAACATGTTTAAAATATAAGAAGCACTTGTGCCACAAATATCAATCAAAATTTGAACACAAAGTGGAAACCAAACTGTCAGTAAAATTCTTATAAGAATGAACTCAATGGCCTAATGGTTTTTAATAGGGAAAATTATGACGGTATGTGCATCAATTGTAATATGGACCTAGCCAGAAATTAATTGACCTCAAAATGTTTCCACTGGTTAATTACTTTAGTACGTGTATTGATTTTGCCATCTTAGCGATAAAGGCATAAGGGTAAAATAATTGATGAAATACTCCAATGAAAAATCTTTGACAGAACTTTCAATGTCTCTCCTTTATAACTCTTATTTATCAACTCAAAACTTGTTTTACAGATCACTTTGTTCATCTTACCTCAAATCCATTTGTTTCTAGCTATTTACAAGTCCCTTGTGCTTGATCTCAGCCTTCAGTGTCTTTCTCCCCCCTCCCTTTCTTCTCTTTTTAATACTTTTTTATGTATTTATATAAAATTCTAATCACATTGCTTGAATCTAATACCAAAATTATTTCATTTTTCTCCTGGTAACTTGCAATAACACGCTCTTTGTTTTTTCTTTGTATTAATAGATACAGAATTCAATGGCATTTTCTCCTCTAAGAATATGTTCACCCAAGATACTGCTACTATGCCAGTGGAAAGGTTCTCTTTCACAACAATTTTTGCTGGCTAAAAACTTGATTTAATTCCATAATCACTTTCAGTCAATGAATAGTCTTTCATAGCCTCTTTATAAAAAAGTTATTTTTATTCATGCTAGACCCATAATTCCTTCCACATTTTCAAATGCACAATGTTCTAAGTGAGGTTTAAAAAACTGAGTACAAAGCTGGATTATATTTTAGAAGAATCAGTCCAGTTAGCCATAGCACACTAATCTGGATTACAACAATACTTTATCTTAGTTACCAAAGATTTTCTTTACTTTCGAAATCCAAGCAAAAATGCCCAAACACCTAGTTAATGACAAACAGCAATGAGAAGGTATAATGATGAAGAAAAAAATTATCGCACATACAAATTTAGGACTTTTCCATTATTTGAGAGGGGTGAAAGTTCTACCAAACACCCCTCAAAATAGACTGAACTCATATGATGCATAGTGGATACCAAGGAAATTGGACTACCCCAATGGAACCTTTCTCCCCTAAATATTATTCAGATGGACTAAACTAAATAATAAAACTATGCAGGTGTTCTGATGAGCAAACATTCATTTACATTAACACAAACACTGGCTAATAGAATATTTAAGAATGGCCTGGACGTAATGCCATTTGGCAATGGTTAAAATTATTATTAAAATACACATGCTACTAGCAGGTTTGTATTAAAATTTACTTGTGTGTGATGTTACCAATAGGGCAGGCCACTTTATTTAAAGAACTATTATTTAAAAAAAACTGCTTTATGAAAAAGGGGACAAAACTTGATTTTGATAAATGTCTAAAAGCATCATTAAACTAAATTTTTAAAGTCTTGAAATACAGTTAGTGCAATGTTTTGAATACTGCCTTTAAAGATGTAACAACTTTAAAATCGTATCTTTGCAATTACTAAAACAATATAATATTCCCCTTATGGAAAAATGCCAAAAAAGAAAAATTAACTTGCATCAATTAAAAATTTTAATTAAAAAAATTTCATTTCATTAAAAAGAATTTAAGCCATTATGAAACTGCATCAACTCATCACTGCCAGCATATATATAAAACATTAAAAAACAGAAAGCATTAATGCAGAGTGTTTAATCAGACATAAATAATGCAAAATCTTTGACTTCTCATACAATATTACTTAATAAACGCAATATTGAGGAATGGACTCTTCCAGAAACTGCTGAGTACACAATCTGGCTTCCTGTACAATGTATTGTTACAATGTAACAGCTAATGCTCCAGTTTTCCTATGGGTTAATGCCACGAAATGTGCTGCTCAATCACAATGGGGAGAAAATCAACTGATCATTGTTGATACTTCATACACGCACACCTGGGTCTTGTTAAACCCTCCATACACTGAATGAACAATGACCCTGTACATATTTAATAAGAGGTTATTTGATTCATTCCAAGGTAATACACCTAGTGACATACACTGGTGCACGGCCTGAACTCCTCCCCTCTAAATTTAGATCCCACTGAGTACTTAAAGTACTAAATGACATCGAAGCACTTAATGACAACTTGCCAGTTTGGCTGCCCTACCATCTGAGAGATTGCATGTGCAGCCCACTCACTGCACGGAATAAGACCTGGTGGCCTCTAGCAGGAACAGATAACCTGGATATATATGATAATTTTGTTTTTTCCTTTTGCAAAGTCACGGTCAAATCTGCAAACTCCATTCATTTTCTACCTATGGTATAAGATCAAGGTATAGTAATATCATCAATGGAGTTATCTGATTAACAATGTCCAAGTGACATTTTGACTTCTTTAAATCTAAATTAGCATAAATAAAATCCTATACATTATTTATCAGACACTGTCACCCTTAAAAGCAAGATAGATTTCTAATAAACATGATAAAATGCATTTAGAAGCCAAGTTCATGAACAATTCAATTTTTTTTTTTTTTTTTTTTTTTTGTTAAGATGAATTCAAATATTGTCATTGTAATAAGTATTAAATAGTGCATTTAAGAACTTACATATACCTTTAATAAATCTGGAAAGAATCATATGCCTAAGAAGCTAAATCAAAATTTAAAAAAATTTTAACATGAACATGCAAAAGACATTAAACCTTAAGGTTAATTCTTGATGAAATTGTACTATTTCAGAGAGGGGTGTTTGCAAAAGCCTCCTGAAATAACAAAGACATAACAGAAACTGCCCAGTTAGTTGAAGGAGAAATGACCAATTGTTTTTAGTCTGATAACTGAAATGTTGTACAATGTGGTGCTAATTCAACAGCCTAAAGCATAACTTTGCCAATTATTTTGACAGCTTCCCAATGAATCAGTCCCAACATTATTTAGACAATCTTATCAGGCTCCAAAAACACAATTTTCAATACTTATTAAAGAACCAATTAAAAAGATGATTTTTAAGTGGTGGAAAAATATGTTTGAATAGATCAAAGAATTAAGTCAAGTAGTGAAGCAGGGGCCCTTATGTGACTTAAAATGAAAAAAGAAGCCTATTACTACCTTAGAATCCTTAACAATGGCCAAAGAGTACAGAACAGTAATTCACTACACTTCCTATATACACACCAGCCACCAGTATTACGTTTTAAGCAATTAATCTTCCAGTGTCTGACATTTTACCTGGAAGGGTCAGCTGAACTTTCATTGACACAAACATGCAAATTAATAATTCATTAATTAGCACTACATAATAAATGAGAAATATTTCATTCATATCTGCATTACATCTGCAGGAAACATTAGGAAGGTCAGATATTGGTCAAACTGCCTGCAGTGTTCATCTCACAAGTCAAACTGGCGACAAAGAATTGATTGTCATTTTAGTCAGGCAACACAGCTATGTAGGAGTACAAGATTATCACACCATGCCTTACGTGACTGGAGGACACGTTTTCTTTTGATTGCATGACTTGAAAGCCATCAAAAGTACACACACCAAATGTTTAGGTAAAAAACCATAGTTGAACTACTGGCACCATCCCCACATGCATTTTAAAACAGCACCCTGTTAGTTGGTGATGTTGGGTACTTTCCTGGTAAAACAGGGTGTTCAGTTGCACCGATAAACATGCATAATTTTTTTAGAAATCTTTTCCAGGGTTTTAGGAATTAAAACAATTCAATGAGTATTACCTTTATCAAAATCATTAGGCTTTTGTCCTTTACACAATGAACAACTGGTTGTAGTCCTAATATTTTGATTAGTTCTTAACAGGATTTTTACAACTTTGATAAGAGATTAAGACAACACATTTCAGATAAAGAAGTCAATTGGACCGGTGATCTATTTTAGTGTCTTCCTTGAAATGACTCACAACTGTCAAAAAATCATAAAGAAATTGATTTAGAGTTAATATCAAATTTCTTTTTTTAAAACATTTTATTGAGCATTTATTTATAAATAAACTAAGAAAAGCATAGGTTTATATGAAAAATGCTGGGGGTCACAATCTTTTACCAGTGAATTTAAAAACCTGTCAAATTTCCCATTTCAACACAATAGTTCCTTATATTAAGGAAAAAAAGCTCAGTCAATGCCAGGCATAATAGCACCAAATCATGGGTCAAAAGGCAAGACCATAAATCTTTATCTGTATATAGATTCATTTAAGTGATTTACCAACTTGAAAAAGAAGAGGATTAGTGTCTCCGCAGATCAACAAAGCAGAAAATTAATGATGATGATATTTTCCATCTGATCTATTGTTGGTGCTGCCTGGATTGACAGGTCCATCCATCAAACGTACAGGGGTGGAAGGTTTTTATTGGCAAAATTGGGGAGGGGGGGAATCATACCAAAATGTGTTTGCATTATAATAATAATAACAATAATGCTCTCTTGTAACATCAGTATTTAGCAAAATGTCAAAAAACTGTTTTAAATCCAAGTGCTGTCTGTTGACATAATCTGTGCATTTAATAAACAGTCTACCACTCAACTGTCACCCTTTCTCCACCATCGCACAAAAATGCATTCGCCCATGATTTATTGGATTTCCTCCACAATCAAGGGTAAAAAAAAAAAGGCAAGAGTCATCCATTTTATCTTCCAAGGGATGAAAGGTGATAATAAACTTGTGGCTCACACCAAATGACTGGAATGACATGACAATTGAGTGCAGTTCCTCCAGTTGACACCATCTGATGAGTACAGACAACTGAATCCTGCACTTAGTCACCCAATGGTGAACTAGTTGACATCTTACCAAACATGCAAATTCTTTTTGTTTACCATGGATACATAAATTGTAACCTACATAAACAAAGTGCAAAAGTCTCTGGAGTGAAATGACCATGAGGAAATGTACCAAATATGTTTTCAAAGTCCTATGCAGAATATCTTGACAAATTAAATATTTGTGGATTTTTCATGATTAAGTTAAAAGAAAATTAAAGTACCCATTTTGGCATCTATGTTGATAAACTCAATCAATCAGTTGATGACCCATCTCTTTGGTATAACATAAAATAACATCTGGTGTGACAAATGCTGCATGTGTTAGTACCGGGATAAAAAATAACATGCCTTGGATAGGATGCATGACACACTCAAACAATTTACAGTCTGTTCTTCACTTAAATTCACCTAAAACTGCTATGATCTGAATTTATACAGATTGTATCACAGATAGGACAGTAAAGTCAGTGTTGAAGATCAAGTTGTGTGGTCATGCTTGAGCTCTGGTTTCAGAGCACACAAGCTTTATTTTCCTAAGACTAATAAACACAAGCATAACACTGACAGGACTATGTCTATCAAATGCTCCACCTTTTTGGTTAATCTTGTACTTTCAGATCTATTCTTCTGTATTTCTTAGGAATTGCTATTCACTATCAGGAATTGGGCAACCCCCCGGAGGAAAAGGTTCTATTCAATTCTTATAAGACTTAATACGCAAGAATACCTGGCTGGCTACACTATCAGAAAAAAAGACAGTATCTGCGTGCTAACCCCTGATCATTTATTTCGTACAAATATTTTGATAGCAGACAATTACAGTACAGTGCTTGTAAGTAGGGACCCAGTGCAACTCAAAATCTTTTACTGACATAACAATTTTAAGATAAGCAACATACAGAAACCCAAAGAGGATTAAATACATTACAGGAACTGAACAGTAATGCACTTCCAATTAAGTGGATATTAATAATGGATTTCCATTAAATAATTATCAATCATGCAGGAGTGAATACGTCAGCTTTTTAGACTGACATTAGTTGCTCAGTACAGGTTGGTCTCATACATATAAGTGTTAAATGAAACAACAGGGAATCAAACCTGATCTGGCACACTATCAGGATGTATATCTGTTCCTTACACTGTATCATACTTATCTGACTACAGTGAACTGTCATTAAATTGGTCTACAGACACAATATTTGGTTATACAAAAAAAGAAAAAAACAGGTAGCAATGGTTAAGAGGCCTTTCGACAGCGGGCAGGATGTGGGGTAGAGTGAGGGTGTTAAGGTGTATTTTCATTTTGCTGATAATTGATATATTTTCTTTTATTTTATTAATTCTTCTTATTTTGCAAATAAATAACCCAACTTTGTCATTTTCTATATAATTTCATCAAATTGATCAATTGGTAACGTATGCCACTTTTCACGGTTGAAGACAAGATTGTGAATCAAAAACATGCTCCAGAGCCTATTTATCATTATTAAATTATTAATATAATATACACTTTAATTTATAAATTGCATGACTACCATTAATGTAGTTGTTCAATGATAAAATGATGGCTGTAAACTGGTAGCTATGTGTTAAATACTGGAACAAGAAGGGGTGCAGCATGGATTTTTCTCAAAAAAGTTCGTTACACAGTATCATGTTGAAAAATCAAAGCAAAATGAGCCACCTGAGTTTTCCTTTGAGATTGACCGAGTATGCAAGATTTAGTGAAACTCCAATGAAACCATCTTATCCAACCTACAGGTAACTCAAAGCACAACATAGTCTTAGGAACAATGCTGGTTTAATCTTTATGCACCTAACAGAACTCAGCAACTTGGGGTCAGTGAGCTGATGTGTATTTAATTACCTATTATATGAAAAGTGTTTGCACCTGAAGATCTTTGGCAAAAAACATCAATGTATCGTCTTGACTCATCAAATAATCTGGGTAAATCATACATCAAAATACTTTCTGCGAATTTTCTATGCTATCCACCTGTCCCAACAAATCAAGTCCCCATATCTGCAAAATATTGTAAGCCATTTCACTGTCACTAAAATATCTACCATCAAAATGATGGCTGAATGGGGAAACCTTGAGTTGAATACAGATCCCTCCACTCAAAACAAGTTTTGCATCCATTGTTACAAAAGACCACGAAATCTGAATTTGTCGATGTTGGGGGAAAAAAAGATAATAATAGTAATAGTAAGAACAAATCATAATAATGATGATGTCTAAGAAATATCTTCCCCTAACTTTTTCTATTTCATGTTTTTTCATTTCATTTTGTAGTTTGAAAATATAAATTATAAAAGTGCTTTGCCCTGATATCTTTTATCTTCACCATCTTGCTCCTGCTAAAATGGAAATAATTTTTTTCCTAATGTTTCAGGTACAATAAATTTATTATGCAATGCACAATATTACTAAGGTGAAAAATGGTTGATCTGTGTTTTTTATATTCTTATTAATTCAGTGAAAAATGAAATATTTGACTAAAACAAACAAACAAAAATGTGACACAAATTGGACCTGTCATTTCCACTACAACCCCTATCACAGCCATTCTGTCACAAATAAACAATTGTTCTTTCCCAAACATAACAACATAACAAGACAACAAGCAGTTACCGATTCTCTGAGACTGCCCAGTTCATCTGCTGACTTGCCAAGTAGAGTTTCTGTAGTTTCTTGGAAGCAAGTCACCCACTGGTTGTCAGAATAGTCTGCAAGATTGGCCTTAAAAGAAAAATTATCATTGGTTATTGTGCTTTAAACACTCCCACCCTCAAATCATTTAAATTGTTTTCCAAATAAAGTTTGAATTTATATACTAAAGTAATGTATTTCAAAACATGCAGCTTAAAAATTAATCATAAGTGGCAAATATCAAAATTCTATGCATATATCTTACTGTAAAAATATTCTTATCAAAGTAACGCGATAGACCTAGCATACAACAAACTAATTGTGATTTGACTATTTTTTATTTTACACCCATCAATTTGTTGATAGACAGGCCCAGAACTGACAGATTCTATAATTAAAAGGGGAGCGTCTGGTTTATTTGAGGTTATTATATGTGAGGTCTACCATAAGTACTTAATTGTTGTAATCTAACCGATAAGATCATCCTCCATTTGTAGTTCGGGTACTCCAGCTGGCACTTTTCACACCTGTACAAACCATTTGACTGGTCAACCACCTTCTTGTTACAATCCATTTTAGGGCAGGCCTACAGAAATGGTTATTTCAATCATTTACCAAGTGAAAAATAGAAATGTTACTCTTTAAGAAGATTTCGTACCATGAATTGCATAAATGTCACCTTGAATGATTAAAAGCAAATTTCTTTCAAGCTCTGAACAAGTTAAATACTCCCACTCTCCTTGCACATTATCTGGTTAATAGCTATCAATATTTAAATATTGATCCTTAAAATGGCATTCATACCTGATACATGCAGTTCTCTTTCCTCATGAATATCACTGTTCCTTTGGCTGAATAGTAGTCTGGTTTTTCTGTAGCTCCAATGTTTTCTTGCTTTACAGCAGCAAAGCTTTTCCAATTAGTTGCGCCTCCTATTAAGACATATATAGAAGATGGTAATAATCACTGATAAATTGACAAAGAATAGTGCAAAAAGAGAAATCAAGCTTTTCCATGCATACTAACAATGCTATGTGCATTACCCTCAAACTAGAGGATCAAAGAGGCGATACCGCCTGCGGGTATTGTACCACCAGCTGGAATAAGTACATTCGTATGGAAAACAAGAAGAAAGGGAAACCACCCCGTGATGTGCCTGACAAGCTCTACAAAATGCAGTAAACAAGAGTTCTCAATTTTTTGTTGAAAATTACAATTTATAACAAAATTGTGGGGAAAGCAAAAGGTCAAATCCAAATTTGTGAAGTGCAGTTCATGGCAAAAAGTAGGTCAAAGGTAAAATCCAAGGGCATATTTGAAATCTCCACATGACTTTTGGTCAGCCATCTACAGATTTTTTTCCCCATAATTCATTTGATTTAGGAGATACTTAGCATTTAATTTTGCAAATTTTGGACAAGGGTGCATTGCAAGGAGCGCCACACCTAGACTCGTGCAAGGACAACACGTGGATCGATCCAAGATTATAAGTGATGGGTGCGCAGGATCCCGTAGTCTAGGAGAAGAAGTGGTAATGGTGACATGGTGGTAGATCGCCACTGTAACATGACAGAGAATCCCCCATAACAGAGTCCACTTCCCATTCATTTGTACAGGTGAGCTTCGTCCTAGGGTGTATTCCCAGAGATTTAGATCGATCCAGAGATTAAGATTTAGATCGACCTAACTCCCTGAGGGTTCACGCTAAATTGCAGTCAGCCGAGCGCGCACCATAGTTAATTACCCCCTTACAGCTTTTAGTAGGCGGGACAGACGCTTAAGCCGGCTAAGCTGACAGTAATCTAGTGAGACTCCCCACAGGGATAGATCGATCTAAAATCTATGGGAATGGGGTACTAGATTTTGAGCCACTTAGGTCAGACTAACCAAGAGACGGGTACAGTCTAGGAGGAGAAGTGGTAACGGTGACATGGCGATGGAGCCGGCAGACGAGACGGGTCTGGACTTAAACCATGTGCACCGCTAGTTCCTACACTGGTGGTACAATCAATTTTAAAATCTTGACGATTGTCTATTTTTAAATTACCTTTTAGCATTAAAAGAAATCAACACTCCTAATGAAGAAGATATTCTCTGCAAATGAAGGAAAATGATTTCTCTTACCTGAACCTCCTTGTCCCCCCTCATTCCTGTACTGTTGGAAGTCCAGGTTGTGTCCATCTCTGTCATACCAACCTTTAAGCCTGTGGGCCTCCTCAATGTCAGGATTAACAATCAACTGACTACTGGACAGTGTGGAGAGTGAACGGCCTAAAAATTAATGTTTTAGAATACCATGATGACAATATTTTTTATTAAAATAAGAAACACATCCAACTTCTACAAGTTGAACAACACAAGTTTAAAAGAGGTGTTAAGAGAAAACCAGGTGTTAAAATAGTTGCTTGTTTACAGTTCAATATATATGCAATTATAACATTTGAATTTCTTGAAGTCTAATTCTAACTAGAGGATCAGAGAGGCGATACCGCCTCCAAATATTGTACCACCAGCTGGAGCAAACGCATTCGTATAGACCCCCACATACACAAAATAAGCCACCAGTTTTGTGCTTGACAAGCTGTAAAAATGCAATCAACAAGAATTTTTAAACTATTGCAAAAAAATATAGGGTACAATCAAATTTAAGTTCTTCGTAAGGTAGGTCAAGGGTCAATTTCAAGGTCACAGTAAATTGCCAGTATATGACTTCCTATTCAAGTTCAAGAGTAACTATGGACCTATCTCTGTAAAGTNACTTGAGGATTCTAATACTTATAAACACCAATTAATCTATGATCAACACTTCTATTGTTTCTCCTACTTACCCCCGAAGTCAGAGAGCCTTGCACCCTTTATTGCCAGTACAGGGTGATTGCTACCATCAAAACCTTCTGCCTGAATCAGAAAACATTGCAAATGAATTAATTCTATTGTAATGCAAAATTATATTAATACACTGATCTTCTAAATGTAGTATGAAATCAGGAAAAAAAAAGATTCTGCAATTTTGTTTTGATAAAGGGATGAGAATACTTCTCTAAATATACAATCAGTAAAAACTTTTTTAATCACAGATATACATAACATGAAACTATTAGATATATGAAAGTGTTGAAAAGTATGGTTCATGGGATTCCTCTGACTTTTATCACATGTTAATGACATTAAACATCTTTCTAAAGAAAGAAGTTACTGTCTTTCATAAAAAGTGCATCATTTACTTTAAATAAAGAAAACAGAGACAATTTCTGTTTAATTAATTACACAAATTGCTATGATGGGTATGGAAGTGAATGAAGGGTACAAAAATGTGTTAATACAAAATAATTTGGTAGATATGTAAAGAAAAGAATGCACTGGAGATTTGTTTGCAAGCAATAGATTTCCCTGGAGTATGCATCAATCTCGTTATCCTATGAACTGTCCTTTTGTGGATATGAAAGCATTTTATAACAAACACACCCATTTATAAAAATAAGTTCCATATTGGAAAAAAACTCAATCTAATTTAATATTGATCTTGTTTCAGAACTTACAGTTTCTCCCCAGAGGGTGAGGTTTATCATGACCTGATTTTGGTCAACCAAAGAAACCTCCCTTTTCTTCAGCTCCTTCTGTGTTGCCTTGGCAATGATTGTGGAAACATCTGCCACGGACTTGACCACACCAATCACATCTGTTAATAAATGAATAAATTATTTTACTGGCACAAATGGGAGAATAATGGGGTCTAGTCCAAATGGATTCACTCCTACAGCACTAAGAACATAAAGTGACCAAGATGTATAAATGTGCTGGATGTAATACAACCATTCAAAAAGGAGGACATTTTGCAAAAATAAATGTCTAAAGGTATAACAACTCTTCATTTTGGCAGAATAAGTGCTAAAAATTTAATTTCCTGGGAAAATGACAATTTTCCCATACTTTCTCATGGTTAATGAACTAACATTCAAGGTTAGTTGATTGTCTTTTTAGTGGTTTTTGTAATAATTTCTTAAGAGATTATTTGGGAGGGTAGTCATCGCAGGGTCCATGTGGTTCTATGGCAAGCACAGCTTCCGCATAATTGCAATAACCCCCATTTTGGTGGTAAAATTGCATTAATAATTTTATTTATGTGTTCTTTACAATGTATTTATTGTGAAATTTTGGATCTTATATGAAGAGTTGTTATCCCTTTAAGTATCAGATGAGCCTAATGAAGTCGTAACAAACAGAAAATGGTGATTTTGTTGCATTCATTATTTACAAAGAACACAAGTAGATCCAGCTTACCCACTGTGGTGTTAGGGGCCATGTTGCCCAATGCATTTATAGGTGTGAAGTTGAAAGTCACAGTTGGCAGATCTACATCTTCAGTGCACTCTTCTATCTGGGAGTCTCTGTTCAGGGTCATCTCGTAGTCATTGTCCACTGAAGAGTACTGCTTGTTGGCTGTTTTCAAGGTTGCTTTGGTGACATAGTAAACCTGTTAATGTGATTAAGAAATTGTTAATAAGATGGAAACTTACATGTCAAAGTATGACTTTGACTCTCTCTCTCTCTCTCTCTCTCTATATATATATATCTTTTTCTGAAAAATCATTACCTTTCAACATGTGCTATACAATTCTCATGAACTTTTTAATTAGCACTCGGCCTTTCCTTTAACCACATATTTCAGTCACCCCACTCTCCCCCACCACCAAAATGCTACCTTATTCACTTCCAGTATATCATAGAACTTGTCCACTTCTGCTTTGAATGCGGTAGCCCGGATCTCTCCACTCTCATCTGTGAATGTCATGCTAAAAAGTTTCCCCTCTCCACGAGAATTGCTCCATGTCCTAATGTTGGACTTGTTGGTCAGTCTGGCTCTAATTGTCCACCTAAAAGAGCAGATAACTGACTGACTTACTAATTCAGGCAAGAGTTTTGCAAAATAACTAGCATTCAACAAACAACAACAATTGCAATATACTGTGCTCATTATTCAGGTTAATTCAGATTTAAAAAAACTTTCTAGTCATAACTCTTAGCCTTGCAAACGCTTATCAAATTGCTTTTGTAAAAACACATACCTTCCAAACATGCAAAATAACCATACTCATCTCTTTTCTGTATATCTATTCTAATATCTTTTGATTAGCGAAAATTTGAAAACAATCTCTCTACTTTACTCAAAACGTCCAAGGCCTACCTGTTTTGATATGGTGTAAGAGCAGTGATTGGATAGACTTTTGGTGTGCTGCCACCTGGTGTCTGGGGAAGATTATTATTTCCATATGCCTTTGGTGTGACATTGTTTTTTCCATAGAAACTATTTGTTTGTCCAGTTGACTGTTGAGCTTGTTCTAAAAAAGAAATTACAAATTGACAGTATTGGGGACAAAAGTGGTCATAAATTTTATGTGAATAAAAATATGATATACACCGAAATGTAAACTAACACTGCAGTGCACATATACAGCAGCCACTTTATAACCAGAATTATCATTTGATCACCTCGTGTAACATCTTTTTTTTTAATTTGGGCATTTAAAGAAACTTACTGCTGCCTGACATAAGTCTCCATCAAACAAATTGTTGAATCCCAAGATGTCTGAATTATGAAAGGTCTGCTACTTTGCATAAACCAAAATATCTCAGTTCTCTAATGATATAAAATTTTACTATGATATTCTATAAAATTTTAATGTTCTCTAAATCAGCAATTAAAATAAGCAATAACAGTACGTGAGTACATGTTGTTGACATGTCATGTATGCAATTAAGCAAGAATCAAGGTAGATCTCAGCACATCAATCAGAAAAAGTTAGTTGCTCTGGCCCCCGTTTCACAAAGAATCTTCAATCTGCAGTTGTCTAGCTCGAGTTGAGTGACCTAGCCAGATCATGCTGCAGTCCACTAGGAGTGTTTCACAAAGAATCTTAAGTCACAGCTTTGTTTGCTTACAGTAGTCGATGCGCAGGGGGAAATCAGTAAGAAAAGGAGGTATAAAATCTCTAAAGTTTCACATGACTTGACATTTCACCTCTTTCAGACACGATGATGGTTTATCAACATTAAAATCAGCCAAAACATAACTTTATTGATTAGTTTAACTTTAAAACAACTTTAAAGTAACATTTAAACATTAGCTTGTCTTGGAACGCTGCTATCTGACGCCTAACAGTCAAAAGCATAAACAAACCTGTGATCGGCTGGGTGATGTTGCATTTTATTTCTTATAAATTTCTGTAACATTCAAAGATATAATAACATAATATCTTGAAGAAGGTATGTACTTTCAAAAGTTTTGCTGATAATGCTCTCATTTACCGAATTTTTTTTTTTGTGAAACAGGGGCCTGGCCTCATTACCTCTATTGTATGGATTCTGCTGGGCAGGTTTTTGCGGCTGTTGTGGCTTATGTGCTGGTGGTTATAAATTCAAAAATAAATGAAATATGAAAAACAAATAATTTTGAGACATCTAGCTCTACAAGTTTCTAAAAGTTAAAAAATACATGGTATATTAAGAACTAAGTGGTACACAAAAGAGCAGAGGAAATGGTGTATCACAACATCTAATATACATTACAGATTAAACAGCAAGAGTGCTTAATGTTATTCTACTGTAGAGCAAATGGTATGACCAGATCTCTTCAAAACTTTTTTGAACCATTCTGTTATAATTGTAGTCAAGAAATAGAAAAGACAAGGCAGCAAAGCTGTCAAATGTACAGACAAAAAGCAGAAAATAATAATGCACAAAACAGGCTACTGTCAATTCTGATGCTATAATACATTATGCTTAACTGCAAAGTCAACAACAAATTTTAATTATGCACAACATGTAATTCCAATGTTGGTAAAATAATTCCAATGTTGGTAAAATGTGTAACAAGCATAAGGCTTCAGGCCTATGAGAGTTCAAGTTCACAATTTGAAAATGCCAGAATGAGAAGAATAAAAATTTCACAAAATAATAATTACAATTACATGAATTCCAGAAAAAAAATGATAATCCAAAATTTTTTTTAATGTTATCTGTATAATGGTGGATAAAATAAGCTCAAATAAAAAGTGAAAAAAACAGCAAAATTGTAAATATGGTCGGATCAAGCTGATTTTCGAACTTGACCTGTATTTTAGTAAGATTGGTCATTCCTTTCAGTTTCAAGACACTAGTCCTGTGGGTTTTACTTGAAATGTGTTATCAGTGGTGCACATATGCTGAAAAAAGCGAAAAAAAAAAAAAAACAAAAAAAAAAACCAGCAGTAAATTAGAAGACAGGTAAAACAGATTTCCACTTACAGTGTTATCAGTGAAAGTGCACATCAATGACAGCGACGACAGACGCAGGTGACAGCTGTATAGACACATTTGTGTTTGTACATAAAAAAGTGTGCATACAGAAGTGCATCAAACATCCTAACTAGCATATAAGGGTTACCCTAAAAAAACAGAACCCATAAAAATTTTATTTAATCCTACAAAGGTACTTCTAATTTCAAGAAATTTGCTGGACTTAGACTTCAATATGTGAATGATCATTCCCCAAAGTTAAAATTATTTTGGTTGCTTTGCATAAACAGAACTTGGGGTAGTGCTGGCATTTTTTTCTCATAGCCAAATCGCTACTTTTTCATCACTTTTTTCTCCAAGTGGTTTAAATTTGACTAAAACAAGTCAAATCAAATCAACCAGTTTTTGTTTAGACAACTTAAGTCACTTTTATCATATGACTAAATTGGGGAGTGTTTGTGATTTCAGGAGAGACTGGGCAGCAATCACAGCAAAAATCGGGAAAATCCTGAAGAAGGAATGCGTTAGAGGAAATGACAATTTTGTGTCATGCATACATTGCGAGTGTGCCTCTAATGCTGTAGAGGCCACGTGGAACATATTTTTGAAAAGGACATAACTTTTATGCAAAGCAACCAAGAAAATACTTTAGGAAATGGTCATGCATATATTGAAGTCCAGCTAATTTCTTGAAATTTGATGGACCCAACCAGGATTTAATAAAAACTATTTGTGGATTTGTGTGTGCGTGCACACGCACACGTGCGTGGGGTCACCCTGTACAAACTACTTTCTACACAACTTCCTGTTACCTGGAGCTCCATTACTGGCAGCATGTTCATTTGTCTGCTGTGGGGGATTTCTGTTTGCATCTCCCCCTGCTGCAGCTGTTCCCTTAAATGGCACTGGGTTGCCCAACTTGCCAGGAACCTCACTACCTCGTTTTATAATGGACAGTTCTAACAGGATCATGACTCTCCTAAAATGAGGCAGAATAATTCATTACATACCATAATATGTTAATAGCTTGAGTGCAACATGCATCATATATCCAAAATGCAAGAAAACGAGAAAGTTCCTAGCTTTACTGCTCTACAATCATGCGTTCAAATTGTTTTCTTTACATTACAATTTCTAAAGATATATGTCTCTGTAATGTCAAACTTGTGATCAAAGTGGTTGAAGTTTGTCTTAGACTGACATAATTTTAAAAAGTTCAGGACTTTACCTGTCCGGAGGGATAGTATTACAGATGAATTTGTCCAGTCTGACAATAGAATTATCTTCCAGCTCACCATTAAGGACAAGATAATTCAACTGAGTGCCCAGCATAGCGGCTAAATAAAAGGACATGCAAGCTAATAATTTAGACTGGCATATATTATAAACAAAAAAACTTATGTCCAGTTTTCAAAAATGTATACTATGTCAATTATTCTATCTCACAAAGTTAATATGTACAGGTAAAAAAAATCCTGCACTTTCTTAAATAAAAGTACAATGTATATATATTTACAGAATTATACTTATTTAAACAAGTATATGGTTTCTTAATACTTCTATAGAATGTCAGGCTTTTTTTGAAATTGGAAGTTTCCAGCTGCAACTTACAGGATTGGCTGTTTACACCATCAGACAATAGAAGACGAAAACGCTCAGTAGCAGATCCACCACTTCCTGCAATCTTCTTGTGACCCTACAAAAATTGTGAAAATATTGTTAAAAAGGAGAAAAATTCCCATCCCTATAATAATACTTCATTATGTTGACAAGTGATCAGTATTTTTTCAGATTTTTCTTTTGTTGCAACATTAATGTAAAATAAATCTATTCAACATAATATCTATCTTAAAATTTCTTTACTAAGTTGCATGTACTGTGAACTGTATGCAATATCTTTGCCTTTCATGAAGGGCTGCAAAAAAAGAAGTGAAATTTATAAGATGAGCTATTCTACATGTCCAGAGCTCCAATTTTTAAGGTAGCTACCAACACAGCATGGACATTTGTGTATTAATTAGAACTCCTAATTTTGTGCAACATGTTCCATTGCATGGGAGTTAAAGATATCAGTAACTTTAAAAGTCCAGCTATCCACTCAGCTGCATATTGGGGACTCTGTAATCTTTTGCTTTCCTCAACTTGCTGCTGTGAAATCATAAACCTGTTCAAAACCACCACTGAATTTTGAATTTGAAAAAAAGCCAGCAATTTTTGTTTACTGAAAATTTTTTCTCGAGATCACAAGTACCACGAAACGTCCATTGACAGGGGCGGATCTAGATATATAATCTGACAGTCTTCCAAATTATCTTTATAAATCTATCCTCCATTTTTGACCGTCTTCCAACGGAAAAAATTAGATACCCGTCAATGTAAACTTGAAAATCTGACCGTCTTCCAGAAGACCCAGAAGACGGCCTAAATCCGCCCCTGATTGAACAATATTCTGCACAGTAGTTTGTATTTGGAAAGGAAACAATTTGTTCAAGTCCTTGCATTCAAATGTCAGTCAAATGTCAATGGCAATCTTCAATGGCTATATGATTTCATGGTGGCATAACTGGCAAGAAGAATCTTATCTTATTCACAGCACTGTAGACTATAAAATTGGTTGAATTTTCAGCAGTGTAAGACTTCAAAGGTGATAAAGAAGCAAAAGAGTCTACAAAACAAAGTTGATTCACTAGCATTTAACAGTTACTTTTCGTGCATTACCAAACTACAGTAATTACTCATTCTTTTCGATGGGCAGATACATTATTTAAATGCTAATTCTATATTGCATTTGTGGTACTTTTATTGCATAGAACTTCAGGGTAGCCTGCTTTTAAATTCTGTTTCTATGACTTAACTGAAATGTTCTAATTTAAAGAAATTATGACTTAAAAAATAGTATCTGTAAAATCAATGATTTCCCTCAGTAGAAAAGAGCAGAGTGCATAAAAAATGCAAAATTGAGTGGTTATGCATGAATTGCAACTGCAAACACATTTAAGACGTGTTCAAAATGCAAAACCTTATTCTCTGACTGTACTTTATATCTACTACTACTACTAACAAAAATCTTACCAAAACCTGTAGAACTGGTTGTTCAACCGTCTTTCCTGTGACAATGTCCTACAAAACGAAACAAAAACTAATCAAAAACGAAATAATCCATTCCTAAATTTTAAGCTTCTTCGTTACAAAATATATATTTTTCATATTACGTTTGAATACCACATCACAAAAAGTCGTTTTTACTTTCAGTCAGTGTGTAAAAATAATAATGAATTTGACATTTAATGTTTATGGATTAGAAGGCATAAAACCTGAAATACAAAATATAAAAATCGCATTTAAGATTAAGAAGAACATCTCTAGCCCCTAAAATAATAGCTAAGTTAGTGTCAAAATGCTTCGATTGTTTTTTCTTGTTTAGACTTGCTACTTTCACTGTGTTGTAGACTTTAGAACTTCGTCGTTCGAGTCGCGGCTAAACTTCAATCTTTTTAAAAGTATCTCTGATAACAAGAGAAAAAAACCTGTTAAAAGCAATAACACCTACCCTTATAGCCCCGGCTGTAAGCATACTGACACTCATTTTGATTTGTGCCTTAAATAATCGTCAAAATGGTAATTGACAAAATATCCTTAATCAGCAATGTTTTCAGTCGCGCCAAATTTCGAGGTAAACAGATGCGCATGCTAAGAAGGTCAGCTGCGTAATTTCTCGCGGGATTATTGAAAATGATTGGTTCCTCAAATAGAACTTAGGTACGTCTTTTATCTTTAACAATAGAGCATTTGAACATAATAAAGCGCGTATATTATATTCAAGCTATTTAAAATATAGTATTCATGCCTCTATTTAATTCTATTTTGTTTAATGAAATTCATTGTGATATAAGCAATGTATAACATATCACGGAACCAGACTGATCTTTCACAGGCTCCATATTGAAAACAAATGAGTGAGGAGTGAGATGCCGATGGCAAACATGTCGAAGGGTGCGACTAGGGCAGGGGCTTCTAAGCTCTGCCCAGTTCGCATCACTACGATGGATGCCGAGCTAGAATTTAAAATAGAGGTAATTATTTCTTTTGAATGTGCTTTACATGATCAAGTCAGTAACGTCATGGCACCCATTTACACACACAGTGTAAACCTTGGACACTTCGTATAAAAATTCCCGTTGTTTTCCCAATGATTAATTTATTTGATGAAATTGACCGTACACCGCATGTACGAACCTTTTGTAAAACACGGAGACAATATAAGCTTTAACGTTTCATACATGGATCGTTGTGGAAACGAAAATTGATTGGCATGAAAATTGGGTGGTTGACCAGTCACATTCGAAAAAGACAGCTCAGTTTTCGGGTCAAACCGTCACTTACTCTTAACTAGGTTGCTTCCGACTGCGTCATGTCTTGTATTTCCCCTTATGATGTTAAATTGTTAAATTCAAATGTTTTATCTTTACCATAACCTTGGGATGCTTTTAACATGGAATAATTTAGGTCTTTGTTAGACATAGCAATTTGATTTTATGGTTTATACAATTGAATTAATTTGTAGTGCAATTCTATTAACACAAATATGTAAATTTACAATTTAATGCACATCACCTATTGCTCCTGATTGTTGTCTTCCTTGTTTTCTGTACTTAAGTCTAAAGTAATTATTTGTGTTATCCACTGCAGTAGGATATAGATATTGATGATTTGGTAAAGCCATTTTGCCCGCCCCATTTTGCCAAGTGATACATTTACCCTGAGTCAACAGATTTTCATGAAACTTGCCTCATTTATCAACAAAAAAACATGATCTTTTTGTTGTGAATGATAAATGTAGACGAGAAATAATGAGAAATAAAGATAAATAGTAATGAAAAGTGACATGATTGGCAATGGACTGCTGTTGTGCAATAGGCAATTCTGTTGATCATTAAGGTTCTTTTATGAACTCTAATATGATTTCTTATCATAAAGCAAAGAGAGACATGCTGATATAGGGACAGTCTTCATATATTCTTTGCGTGTTTTATTTATTTTACATGTATTCATTATTACAACTATCCACATAAACTGCTGCTTCAAAACTTACCTCTCCTTTTTATGCAATCTTTTACTAAAACAACTGATTTACATTTTGATTACTATGAAGTTAATTAACCATTGTCCTTCGTCTTACTCTTTATGGACAGACATGCATATTCAGCTTCAATTTGATGTTTTTATAGTAAGGTAAACATGTGAGGTGGTAATTTTTCTCTATTTTTCAGCCAAAGAGTACTGGCCAAGAACTATTTGATCTTGTGTGTAGAACAATCGGACTACGGGAGACATGGTACTTTGGACTCCAGTATGTTGACCCAAAAGGCTATGTAGCATGGCTTAAACATGAGAAAAAGGTATAATCACCATTTTCTAGTGCAAGTATTTTGAATACTTGGGGCGCATATGTTATGTCTTGTTAAATGTTTTTTGTTGACATAACCTACTTCAGTAAGTATATGTGTACTACATGTCTTTACTAACATAACAAAGATTCTTGTTATGTATAGATGAAATCCAGCTGTAATTTCTCTAAGCTTTTGGATATAGGTACATTTGTACAGAAAGTATGTTCTAATGATCTTTTTGTGCATGTTTTTCTACTTCTGTCAATATTCAGGTAGTTGAGCAAGATGTACCAAAGGAATGTCCTCTGTCCTTTACTTTCCTGGCCAAGTTTTACCCGGAAGATGTTTCAGAGGAGCTTATACAGGAAATCACTCAACATTTATTCTTCCTGCAAGTCAAGCAATCTATCTTGAATATGGATATTTATTGTCCTGCAGAAGCATCAGTTCTGCTGGCTTCATATGCTGTACAAGCAAAGGTAAAACATGTATAGAATATTTCGAATAAAGGCTTAACTATAGCGGTTTTTTAGAAAACAGCTCCCAACAAAGTTTTAATTACAGTGATATGTTCAGAAACTATTTTGATCTCTCAGACATAAAAAACATGATAAATGATAAACATAGTTTTTGTGTAAATAAAAATATTTAACATTGATCACCTCTCAGCAGTGAGGAAAAAAAAAGACCATTCACCAGTGACATTGCTGCCCTCTTTGAGATTATATTATTGATTATCTGGAGAAAATATACCAAAAAAATCACTCCTGGTCCTTCTTATTATTATTATTCTAGTATGGGGACTATGATGAAGCAACTTACCAGCCTGGCTTCTTGTCTAGTGAAGATCTGCTACCACAGAGAGTGATAGACCAGTATCAGATGACACCAGAGATGTGGGAGGAGAGGATTAAAGTTTGGTACTCAGACCACAGGGGGATGACAAGGTATGTGGATATTTTTATCCTAAGAATGTTCTTAACATTTCAAATCTTTTATTCTCTTTTATTGTTATGAAAGTAAAACAGTGTTTGTTTTCGTAGTGTTTGGCTGTTTTGTGCTTGGCATTAATGTTTAGCAGGCATTCTGTCATGCAGTCACAAAGGTCTATAGATCTACTTATTTATTATTATTATTATTATTATTATTATTATTATTACTGTAGAAATATGCTAGGAAACAAGAAACTTTTTTAAAAATTTGTTCATTTTCAATGATTGTAGGGATGAGGCTGAGATGGAATATCTGAAAATAGCACAGGATCTAGAAATGTATGGTGTGAATTATTTCCCCATTCAGGTATTGTGCATTGTTAATTCTTTTAGTGCATTTTAATAATATGTTATGTTGATATTTTTTATTTGTGTATTGTGGAGTGTTATTTGTCTTGATGTTCAAGTGAGACACCCAGTTGAATGCATATTAATATGAGATTCTTGTCATACGCATTGGGTGAAAGTTTAAGGATTATGTGTGATTTCATAAATTTGTCTTCATTTGGTCATTTTTTTTCATATGGTCTAAATGCTTTTAGAAATTGCAAGCTACATTTTCAGAATTTTGAGTTTTTACAACTTTTACTCATGGTCATAGGTAGTTAAAGGTAAAAATTTATAGGACACAGAGTGACTAATGAAAATGAATGAAATCGAGTTAGATTGAACTATGACAAAGATGGTAGTTACAGTCATAATTTTTATTTAGGGAATAAAATTGTTCACATTATTCTCATCCACATCCTGTAACATCTGCTCTGACAAACCAATTTGATTAACTAAACATTCAAGTCATCATTTTTGGGTATCATCAACAAAATTTTGTATTTGTAAATGAATCAACTTTGTAGTTTTTAAATAATTACCATTTATGTCCATTGGACTTTTATATATATATAAAACTTATTTAACTATGTTGACATTATCTTCTTCAGAACAAGAGAGATTCTGACCTGTGGCTTGGAGTGGACAGTCTTGGTCTTAATATCTATGAGAGTGAAAACAGACTAAATCCAAAGGTCACCTTTCCCTGGAGTGAGATAAAAAATATAGCATTTAAAGATAAAAAGGTTGGTTGCCTCGTATTATTACTAATTTGCGTTGTTTTTTATTTATTCATTTATATGAAGTGTTGCTGAATTAAAGAGGACTACTGTGTTTTGTTATGCATACTCTTCAAAAAGAGTGACTGTAAGTGTGCTTATTAGAAGTTGGTTCTCATCCTAGCAATAATGTAAAAAAATATTGACTGATCAAACAAATGATACTTAAAATACTATTCAAAACAAATGAATACTTGAAATACAAAGCAGTACATTAAAGAGGTGACAGTGTAATAGAGACCAATTCAAGAAAAAAATACAAGAAGTAAAGCATAATTTGCAGAGATCTCTTAATTTGCATCAGGGAATTTCACATATGATACCAGATTTCATTGTTTTTCAGTTTACAATAAAGCCAGTGGACAAAAAAGCACCAGATTTTGTCTTCTTTTCTCCCAAACTTAGAATGAACAAACTGGTAAGTGAATTGAGAGCTGGAAAACAGACTTTACGAAAGGCGTCGGACCGTCGGACATGCCTGGCAAATTTCGTCTCGGTCCGATAAAAAATCCTATATCGTCGGACCGTATGTCCGGCGAGTTTTCAAACTGACTGGGAATGTGTAAATATAAGGAATACATTGTTGTTTCTTTTCTGGACGATATATTTTACTACATTCGAAAAGAGAGACGGGGTGAAAATCTCGGGGAGTTCCCAGCTAATTATACATAATTTATTAACCTCAGTTTCACTCACAAATACTATTTTGTGACTGGCTGAGGTTGGGGGATTCCTGGATGATGTAATGTACAGTCTCGTTTTCGTTTTCGTAATACCCCTACACGACAAAATGGCTGCAACACCTGCTCGTGCTATTTGCGTTTTTACAGACTTGATCCTCTGTTTCTTCATTATCAGTCATACACAGTACTCATGGATAAGCCTTTTGTTTAGAAAATGACGTTGTTGAACTTTAAACACTTCGTTGATGCAAAGCGTGGCAAAAAATAAAAACGAAGTGAGGAAGAGAAGCGGAAGTTTACTAAAATTGGAAAGAAGGTAGGCCCTGGCGGACTTGTGATCTGTAGGAGAGGAAAAAAGCTTCAATTGGATGAAAGAGACTGCCTTATTGTGCTGTTTCAATATGCATATGTTTTTGCCAAAAACAAGGTGTGAAATCGTTATCTGATTAACAATAACAGACGTTTTTATGGACATACATTTGATATTACTAGCTACACATTCTTCATACTTGTATTGTTTTTAGTCCTTGTGTCATTCCACAGCGTCTTTTTCATTAAATAAAAAAACAACTTGTTATGCAAGTAATTTTTTGTCTANTGAACTGGTGAGGGATAAAGATGAGCTGGAGAGGAAGGTGCTGCATTTACAGGAGGAAGTGAGAATCGCCAAGGAAGCCTTGGTTAGTACAGCCACAATATGTTAGACATCTTTTCAGTCATCTGTTTTTGTCATTGTTTATTATTCAGTTTATCCTTCAGAAATAAGATGCTTTTATATTATTTATTCAATAGAAGTGTTGATATTTAGAAAAGATTTAGTACCAAAACTGTTTAAGTACTATTATTTTCAGATATTAAGGAGAATTGTTTATGTATTTAATTATATACATGTCTGGTTTGTGTAATTTGGACCAATGAAGTAAAGTGCAGAATGTGGATTTCTTGTTTGTAGATGAGGTCAGAGGAAACTGCTGAACTACTAGCAGAGAAAGCCAGAATTGCAGAAGAAGAAGCTATGTTACTCACACAAAAAGCTGCCGAGGCAGAAGCAGAGATACAAAGAATCAAAATAAGTGCAATAAAGGTGGGTGGGGTAATACTATTTTTGCATGTAATAGAAATGTAGGACTGAAGCTCCATGAATGTGTTCATATTTAATAAATCACTTTACTCACAGGCAATCTATGTAGTTAACTATCCCCACATTATTACTGTATTGTTACAGACTGAAGAAGAGAAAATGCTGATGGAGAGGCGAGCAAGAGAAGCTGAAATTATTGCTGCAAGAATAGTAGAGGATTCAGAAAGAAGGTAAAGTTTTCTTGATTGAAACCGAGAATTATATTAAACTATCTTATATTTTATTAGAAAAGTATATTTGAAAGCTGAATTTTCAAATAACTCAAGCATTGGTTTATACTTCAGCTGACCAGATGTATGACAACTTATTGCTATCAAAAAAAATGTTCATAGTTGGGCTATTATGGTTAGATAATTGTTTGAAATTTATATTTTGTCAACTGTATGATTCCTTTTTACTTACAGGGTGAAAGAAGCCGAACAAATGAAAGAAGAGCTCATAAGAGCCAAGTTTGCTGAGAAACTGGCAAAAGATAAATTGTGTGAAATGACAAAGAGTCCTTACTCTGTAAGATATTAGAATTATTACTGGTATTATCTGTCTGATTATGGTCAGTGAAAGAACTCGTAGCTCTTGAAGGGTGTCAAATGCTTCATATGTTTAATATTTAAATCTCAAACGCTATTTCTACTACCGTACTAACTTATACAGTTACTATAGGACCAGGTATTCCCGTCTTCTAGTTATATTAATCTAAATATATGTTTAATGTTTATCTTTAAAAAAAAATGATAAACTATATATTGTGTATAGCCTAAACATGGATGATACATAAAGGTCTAACAAAGTGTATTCTTTCTTAGGCCTTGTACCACTATGATCCTGTGGCCCCTGAGTTAAGTGACCTCAGTGTGGACACCTTGGACATCAGTAGGAATGATCGAGTGTCATTAACAGATGGAGATGAGTGCGATGTTGATCTTATATCATCCCAGGACATGAACCAGCTGTCTTTGGAACTAGAGAAGGAGAGGTAGTAATATACACAGAGAATAGAAAAAAAGAGAAAAATTGTGTTTTACTAAAATTTGCTGTAAAATTCAAGTGATTTTGAAGTTTACAAAGTTTGTACAAGTGAAACTTGGTTGTTTCAATTTATTGCAGAAAGACAAGTAAATTATATTGATGCAGATGTCTGAATTATTTCTGTATTTAAATTATAGAGTTGAATACATGGAAAAAAGCAAGCACTTGCAAGAGCAGTTAAAAGATCTCAAAACTGAAATTGAAGTGCTGAAGGTTGAAGAAAAACAGACGTTGATGGACAGAATTCATGATGAAAATGCTGAAATGGGGGAAACAAAGTATTCTACGATGAACAAGGTATATAGAGTACATTTTTGTGATACAAGTGATAGTACTTCTAAATTAACATGGCTTTATTGAATGGGTTTTGATACTAGAATTCTTTGACAAGATAGAAAGGTTATTATTTGAGTCTTCAGATATTTTGCTTTGTTGATTTTGTTGAAACTGTAACTCTGCCTTTCAACAAATCTTTTATTTGTCTTTTTCTTTTTTGTTCCAGATTCGTTCAGGAACCACCAAAGCCAGAGTTGCATATTTTGAAGAATTATAGGACTCGGCGTATTCTTGCTGCAATGCCTGAAAATACTCTGTCCAGCAGAAACTACTGAATGGATTATCATAAAGATCCCATGTATTCCCCCATGATCTTTGTGAGGTTCTTCCATTTGTTGTGAAAACATGCTCTAATTTCTGATTATAGTGTTCTCAAGTTCTTAAAACTAGCTTCTCACTCAGTCAGTGAACAATACTAATAATACATTGATGGCATTTTTTTTTTTTTACAGAAGTGGCCCCTCACTGAAATGGTTTTTAAAAATGCCATCATATCTTCCAATGTGCCTATGCAACAAACAGTATTTTAAAACTAATTGGTTATATTATGTCACCTTATGCAAATAAGACTTGACGTCAATGATTTATCTTAAGGATTAAGGATAGAAGGATGTGCCAAACCTCTTCTGCAATATTGTAATACTTTGGATTTAATTTGCCAAAAAAGGTTTTAGATATATAATATTTGTTCATCTGTAGAAGTCTTGTGTATGTTGGCAAGAGCAGGGGGAGGCAAGGCAACTTAGGGTGTGAATGAGTTGATGACCTCTGATCTGCACATTCATTACATTTAACTGCATAGTTTCTGTGTGTTTTGTTCATGTGTTCGTGTGAGCAGATTTGTTGTCCTGCCCTGATCAAACTTCTTCAGGGTAACCTGGATATTCTTTTAATTATAAGCATTGAACCATATCAAACTGGATATAGGGTTTCTTGCCAATCCTGTAAAATATCATTTTCCATTCAAGCACTATAAAGAAAATGGGCGTTTATTAGTATTATGAGGAAGAGGGGGCAGTTGAGGAATATTTTTCCTTACAGTGTTGTATTTTGTGAAAACCAGCTAATCCTGATAAAAGTAATGAAAACAATTAAATATTTGTCACTTATGGCAGTTTTCAGTAGATCTGAAGAATATAGCAAGCAAAACATTGGAACAAGTTCAAGATCAGAATGACATTCTGCCAATATGCTACCATTTTGCACATAGGTCATGTAATTGCATTGAAATAGCCATAGATATTATTCGATTTGAAAAAGAGCAGTATGTATGTTTTGTTAAACAACAAGACAAAACTAATGAATATTTTTATATGGAGCAGTGCAAATCTCATTCATTTATTTTAAAAAGTTGTCTGTGGATAAAGGGTGACATCTGTCACATTTCCACTTGTATTCCGCAGTAAAGGTGCTATTTTAGTAAGCAATGTATGTCATTATTTCAATCTTAAATCACTTGACTTGTACAGTGTTAATTTTAATATTTGATTTCAGTTTTTTTTATTTTTCATCATTGCAAGTGCTTGTGTTCTTCAAATGTTCACAGTTTCATTATTCACACAGATGAAAATAAGCTTCAGGCTTCTTGTGCCCAAGCATGGTAGTGAAGTAAAAACCTATACCCCTGCAGTGTGTATGGCTCACCTTAGAGAATTCCATTTCATGACATGTGCAATGTGTATTATTACACATAAGGACAGAACTGTTGGACTTGAAAACAAGATGGGTTTTCTAGTTTATCAAGTAATATCACAAATTTGTAATTTTAAACAATGCATATACAAAGAAAAATTGGACAATGATTAAAAGAGAAGTTGTTTCAGTTCAATATATTTTAGTAAATTTTGTCATAAAACCTAATCTTGTATTTTACTTAATAAAAGCTAATCATTATTTATGGTTGATGTGGAGTTTGCATGCCTTAAACATGTATCAATCTTTTTACTTTAAAAAAAAAAAGCAGCAACTTTCAGTAATGCTGAGTTCAAGTAGCATAAAAAATGCTGCCAAGCTCACGTGCCCCTCATTTTAGAGCAAGTCGGACAGCTCACCAAATTGGGGCATAAATAAGATCAGCAGCCATTTTGTTGCAACATGTTGTGACTCCATACACATTATTTCTATGTACTATTTATAAAAAGACAAAATTGACGATGTATTTCCAGGTTTGGGAATTCAACCCCCTTTAATCTTTGATTCTCCTTTCCAGACATTTGCCAAAACTCTGTAACAATCTCGGTAAATTGAAAAGTTCTCGTTATTCCATGCTTTACTGTGGGTTTTTCAAATCTTTCTATCACTGAACACTAACTTCTTGGTTGACAAGTTGTCGTGTCCGACATAAAGATCAAAAAGATATCTTGTGAGGTCATGTGATGTAATGCGTTGTGGTCCAATAGTTATTGAGTAATGTGGCAGCCTCTTTGTATAACGCCAAGGTAAAGAAATCAATTATACAATTACAAGTAATTAAAGTTTGAGTGCATAGACCATAGATAAGAAATAAGTATATAAGTGATCAGAATTGATATTATGGGGGAGGAAGAGAAGAGAAGGAGAGATGGCGCAGACTAATTTTCAACAAGCTAGGAGTTAGAGACTTCACTTGAAATGTTGATACCGAGCCTCGACATACAAATCGTTTAATTGGTCATTATGTGGACTTGGGTTTGCTTTCCGCGACCTTACGTTCATCTGACTAAAACTGCAGAGTCTGTAGATTGCGTTATCTGCTAAGAAAGTTGAAAGCCCACACTTGAATTAAGCAAACAAAATTATTTAAGTTTAGGACATTCATTCTATACATATGAAAAGGTTCATTACAAGGTGGTGAGGTTTGTCAGGAGGTGATAAACTAGATTATGTTTGTGACATTAATTCATTTATTTCTTAAAAATGATCAAAAAGTATTATTTGTCGTCAGACATGTATAACAAGGATTGGTTTATGTACTTATCAAAATGTGGTTGAAATTTTACACTTCATTCATTAAAGTGTCTGTTATTTGCACACTGTAATATCTAAGACAATGGTTACATGATGAAATGTTATAACTTAAATCCTCCCCAAAGGTAATGGTACAAATTTACTGAAACGCTAGCTTCTTCTGCTCATAATACTCATATCATGGAAATAACTTAATTAGGCTAAGTCTTATCTTTTCCAACACAACCACAGCCTTCAAAGATGAAAAAAGCTAGAACACCAAATTCTGTGACCTTCATATAGACAATGTGATATTGATTTTTAAAGAAATATTTAACAGTGAAAGACCAACATATCCTTTCCATTTTATCGTATAACACATAAAGACATAATGAGTTACACTCATGGATCACATATTCACTTTAAACAGCACCATCTACTGATAATCCAAATATAAATTCCACAGGAACAGCCTTCTTTTTTTATAACTTGTAAAATAAACTATATAATCTTGGTGCTAAGCATAACTGTCTACTGGCATTGCTGGAAAAAGTCTGATCATTCCGGTCTTAGAGTGCATTCACATAGATTTTTAGATCGATCTATCCCCGTGGGGAGTCTCACTAGATTGTTGTCAGCCTGACCGGCTTAAATGTCTGTCCCACCTACTAAAAGACGTAAGGGGGTAATTAACTGTTGTGCGCGCTCGGCTCTTGGAACCTGACAGCAATTTAGCATGAACCCCCAAGGAGTTAGGTCGATCCGGATAGATCGATCTAAATCTATGGGAACCCAGTCTTAGCACATTAAAATTAGAGTTCAATCTTTCGCAAGAAATTTAAATCTACAAACCATCATAAGACAGAGGTACCATCACAAAGAAGTTAGTTGCATCCTTGTGCAAAGATGAAAAAGGAGAATACTAGCTAGGTTAACGAGCAGAGTCTTTGGGGGCTCTGTACACTGTCTGTGCATCAACAGAGACGTAACGCCTCGTACCTGGAGAGTGTATGAAGACCCCAGTCAGTTTCTTCCCATACACACAACCTGTATCTAGTCCAACTGCAAATGGATGTTCCTGTAGTCCACGCTTCGCATCATGGCCATAATAAATACAGTTAGGTCCTTTCCACAAAGATCCCCATGCCACCCCATCTTTTTCATATTTTGATATTTCAAACTGGTTATTATTAAGACTTATAATATTCCTCATAGTTGTCATGTGTATGGGCTGTTGCTTTGCCAAGGGTATCCCAGGAACAATCCCAGCATGGACGACCAAGGATTTCAAACTGGGAATTGAGATTGTATATGGAAGTTCTGATAAATAATCAATATCATTCTCAGTTAAATCTGTGACCCATTTGTACTTGTTAGTCAAAGTATAAGAAGGATCCTTATTTCTGCTGTATTCCAGAATCACTTTCTCATCATGATTTCCCCTCACTGCATATAACTGATATTTTTCAGTATTTTCTCTTATGAACTGCAACACATCTGTACTTTTGGGTCCCTTATTGACCAAATCACCTGCAAAAATCACAACAGCATCATCCTTTAAGACATCTGCCTTCATAAGTAGAGCTTGTAACTCGTCATAGCAACCATGAATGTCTCCAACCACGAATACTCTTCGATTTTGAACAATGTTGTTGTCTAGCACCTGATGGAGTACCTTTGGAAGTGGTGTATCAAACTCGGTGGTGTGAGTAATGGGATTCCAAAACAGTGACGTCATCTTGGACAACAAGGCACCCATGATCACCAGCACACAGAGAGGTAAAATTACCTGGAGATAATTATATGAGTTCATGAGATATCCATTGAAAATAAAAAAAAATCTTGAAAAGAATATAAAATTTACACAATTTTACTTTTCTTTTCAATTGGTGGAAAATGTGAATAGGGTACTCTGTGGGAAAGGTTTGAAAACATAACAATTCTTTTCAATGGAATGATTTCAGCTCTGTTCTTTGTTCATACTGGTAACTTCCTAAAAAAGATTTCTTCTGAGCAAGGATTTTACTGACCATATAGTGTACACACTATTTAGCAATCAAACCACAGCTAGCGAGTAGAACAAAAGACTTGGTCGTGCTGTATTCGACATACAAGCACGTCATGTACGCGTGCATTCCACGGACTGTTGCACTCACTAGTGTAGAGCCAATCAGAGGCCGTGGTTTTAGCCAGATACTGTACAACACTCGTTGCCGAGCTATACGTTAAAATTACTCGTGTATTGTCGAGCCCCATACTTCACGTATAGCTCAGCGACTCATATTGTATCTATCACTTACTCAATAGTCTGTCCAAATTATGCCTTAAACATACATTAGCAATATGCCTATATACACAATATGATACATCAACCATAAATTAAAACACACATGAAAAAATCAATAAAACAATACCCAAAAACACATGCCATATTTCATAAAAATGGGGCTGTTGCTTTTTTGAATGATATATATACTAGTACAATATTGTGTACATTTAGTATTCTTACTAATGGAAATCATCCGAGATGGTCTAAACAAGGCTGTCAACATTGCTTGATGTCATACATGGAAGAGACTATAGAGATAGATGTGCAAGAATCAGTATGAAGTACATGTAGGGCTTTTTTTTTAGCCATAAAGGAACTCTAAGCCAGGAATGTTGTGTTAGAAAGTAATACAACTTAGATCTACATGTAACACGCAAAACATTTTGATCATGTACTGTTGTGCAAAATAATATATTTTTAACGAACTTGAAGAAAACAAGCAGAAAAATATCCGTGGATAAAGTCTGTCAGCTTTTATCCATTGCCACACTACATGTCTCATTATTTTTGACCCCAGGTTTTCTCTCCTCCAAATCCTGAAAAATCTCACTTGATTTTACACTAATTGGATAGACTTATGGCTATCTCAGATGACTTCCATTTCATTTACTTATTTCAAAGCTGTTAACATAAAAACATAAGAACATTACAGCTGTATAGTTATCAATTTTCTAAAATGTGTAATATCCAGTTACTAGTATGGCTATCCTAGATGTGAGGAACATGTAAAACATAATACCAGTTAAGTTCAAATATGATTTTGCTAATGTGTACTAGTATCAAATAACCATTGTCCAATACTACTTTCACCTTAAAATACTTCGCCACACGGTCCACCAGCCAGAGATGCAATATTCTAAAATGGAAAACAGATTTTTTTTTCTGATGCTGTCTTGTCTATTAAATCCAGTTTGCTGTGAGTCTATTATCACACTGCCCAAATTCTTTTATTCAAAGCACAGTGTCAGCTCTGTCTTGGATGTGAGGTCACTGAGGCAGAGTATGTACAGATAAAACCAACACATCAATTACTGTTACTCAAGAGGCAAGCCATGTAGGAATACCAGGCAATGGCATAGGGGCATTAAAAGACATAATATGCTGTTGAGTCAGGCCTATAAATATAGAAATGCAATTTGCTACTTCACCAAACAATTCTATTATACATATCATTCAATACTGACTGCTCTTTTTTTCACAAATTTGCAAAACTTGCAAAATGTTATCGTTCAGTTAAATCTTGCTTCTTTATTTATTTCAAAGATGATTATACAACTTTAAGGTTGAGTGATGGAGCGTCACAGTATTAAGAAGAGGTCAGCTATTGAATGCGCGTACCAGTCACATATTCTATGTGCACATGCACTATGGTTTATTGCATGAACTCTGCATTTTCAAGGGTTGAGGTTAAAGATGGACATATTTGATAAAGTTGCAAAAGCATTACCATTCATAAATTGAAAATATATCATAAACAAAACAATTCACTTTTTCACCATTGATTATAATAATAAAGATATTCCAAGTACTTTCAGAATTTTTAAATACCTTGTATTAGAAAACTAAAATAACATTGCACTTGTTTTTAACTACTTGAACAACCTCCATGTACCTTTAAGAACAACTTGGGCTGAAAAAAATTTAAAGTGAAAACACTGCTCCTTGAATGAAAATTGCTAGTTATGCGCTGGTCTTAACATCACATACGGGTTGTCAAATACATCGTCTACAGAATAAATCTCAATTGAGTTTGATCCAATTTGAGCAACCTTGCTACAGCTAGCTTGCAGTCAACATTTTGGCACATCTTCCACTCCAAATACCAAAGTTTAAAGTTAAAACTTTGCAAGATTGCATTTAGCAAATCAGAGCTATTTGGCACAACAGAGTTTGCTTTGGAGTAATATTTTAACAATCTTAAAACAGGTTGTGGGTATGCAAAACCAACTAGGAAAGAATTCCCTGTCTGAAACTGTGAGGCTGGGTCTACAATATGGAACACTCTATGTAAGATCAACATAGAACACTCTGCTCAGAAACAATATATATATACAAATGCATAATTCCATTAGATGTGAATTAGGGCGCAATCAGACCTCACATACTTAAAATAAGTAGGAGAAGAGTTAACACATACAGTACTACTCAGTACTAACTGATAAAAATCCTTATAGCATTCATTTAGTACTGAACAATAAAAACATCAATATATAATAAAAATGATAACTAAATGGTGTAGCCAGTGCATATCTCCATCTATGACAATGCCTAGGTCTTATATCTAAATTGTTTCAAATTATCTTCATAAAAACAGCATAAAAAGTATTGGTGAAAAAATGCTTCAACATCATGCAAAAAAGGATCATTTCACCCCCCTCCTACCCCCCAGAGGCACCCCCCCCCCCCAAGCACATAAATTATGACTGGCCCATCCACATCCTTGATAATAAGTCTATCAATCCCAGACAATTTTTAACTTTGTAACTCTAATGACCTAGGAGGAGATACCTGAAGTTACAATTTAGAATATTAAAATCATCCACCCCCAAGGACAGCCCTACCCAAAAGCACACAAAAAATTCATAAGTGCCCATGCGCATCCCTGATGATAGGTTAATCATTACCCTAAGTTTCAACTTCCTTACTCTTATGGTCTTGGAGGAGATAGCAGAAATTACTAGTACAATGTGTAAAATAATAAGGAGTACGTACGGATAAAATTTAGTCCCAAAATATTACACGTCCCTATACTCCCGTTACCGATAGATACATAAAAGAAAAACTGAAAAAACGTCTTTTTAGATTTAAATACCGATAGATCCCATTTTTTACTGCTGTCCTATATATTTGCGTTCCTATAGATACGATGTCCTCATAAACCCACGTCCTTTAAATCCACATACCTATAGATCCACGTATTTTGAGATCCAAATACCGATAGATCCATTACAGGTATGCTTTTGCTCAAAATGGTTGGTATACTACTCAGTACATAAAATGCACTTCTTTAAAATGACAGTACACATATTAATCCTTTCAGCAATAAATTATTCTACTAGATCGTTTTCACACAATACTCAGTGAAAGAACATAAAAAGAACAAAAATGTGTTCTATATTTCACAACGCTTACTGTTCTAGCGTCAGAACACTTTTTAATGCGTTCTCAAAATGTAACATTCGAACACGTAAAAAGTGTTCTGAATTTACATGTAAATGCACGTGTTCTAAACAAAACAAAACAATAAAAGAACATAAAAATGTGTTCTATATTTCACAACACTCAGTGTTCTGGTGCCAGAACACTATTTAAAGCGTTCTCAAAATGTAATATTTGCACACTTAAAATGTGTTCTGTTTCATGTTTACGACGCGTTCCCGAACTTTAGAGTGTGATAGACGTGTAGACGCGAACGTACATGTATGTCTTGTTTGAACACCTAATAAATATATAAATACATAAATAAATGAATAAATAATAAATATCAGGTTGTAATTAAGTCAGATCACTAAGTGGATCAGTATTCGCAGCCAGACTACTCAGTATCACTCGAAAGCCTCATACCTGTATCACAAGTTGTTATCGGTCTTTTAGCCGATTACAATGTCAGATAGATGGATCTAGCGGTACCTGGATCTAAAGATACATGGGTTTATAGGAATCTGTTGGTGGATCTATCGGAACGTAAATTTAACGAGACGTAAATCTATTGAGACATGTATGTATAGAGACGTATCTATCGGGACGAATATTTTATTGGGACGTTTATCTATATGGCGGACCCCATAATAAGAATCATCCAAGGGCACATGTATGATGTACACCTGTGATGATAGGCATGAACTTTCTCACTTTCATGGTCTAGAAGGAGAAAGAAGAAATTACAATACAAAAAGGATTTAGAATAATCAACCATGCCCTAGGAACAGCCTAACCCCCTATTGCACTAAAATTCCAAGGAGTCTATACAGATCTCATATGATAGGTCTCTCAATCACCTTTTAGTTTTAACTTCTTGGATCTTATTATCTAGGAGGAGTTAGCAGAAATATAAATACATAAAGGATTTAGAATAATCAACCACACCCCAGGAACAGCCCAACCCCCAGTTGTACTAAAATTCGGAAATGCCCATGAATATCCTTAATGATAGGTCTCTCAATACCCAAAGTGTGAAATTCTTCACTCTATATAATGGTCTAGGCTAAAATACCAAAAATTACAATGTGAAAAAAAATAGAATCAACCACCCCAGGGACAGCCCAAGCCCCAGGTGAACTACAATTCTGAAGAGCCCAATGGCCATGCACATCCCTGATGATAGCCTAGGTCTCTCAATATCAACTTCCTAACGCCAGAAACAGAAATTACTTACCCACTGATGCACAGATTCATGGATGTTGGGATAACATGATCCTAGTCTTTTGTCTCAAAAGTGTGGGGATAACAAAATAAAGCAAATTAAATGGAGGGTTTTTCAAAAAGACACATTTCCATTTAATATTATTCTCTTGTGATAACTTATTCACACTATTGTGCATATTTTGAGTGTCTGTGTCTGGTTACTACTGTTAAGTAATTAGAATGATTCACCTTGGGGACACTCTAGGCAGGGTCCTAAAATAATAGGAAATTTTACACTTTGATGCATTCTTCACTTATAAATTATTCTGAGCTATTTTTAGACCAGTATTCATTACATGTACATGTACTGGTATAAATTTTTGTGTACAAGCCCTGAATTTTGAATCTGTATATGTTTTCATTTTATATTCACACGAAAACGAACAAAATTTGTTCAGCAGACTACATGCGACCCCTAGACACATATACTGGTATTAAAGTATCCTTTTGAAATACTACTTAAAATAATTTATGCTTATGAAAGATAATAAATAATTGAAGAAAAAAAAATTACGCTATTGTCCCTTATTTCGTCCTTTTTAATCACATTTTAAATTTTTTCTACTAAAAATTGTCCCTTTGGCCTCCCGATAAAATTTACATAGTTAATATATTTAGTGCCTACACACGTACAGTTGTACAGTAAAATGTACTGTACAAGGAAAAATAATTGGTCTTTTTATTTAGTGTCCTGCGAAAGTATTGAATCGAAATAACTGGTGCATGTTCTCACTGAGAAACTGTTTCACTCTTCTTTTACAATAAATAAAGACATTACAGTATACTTAAACCATAGAATGAGACTATGACGTCGGACTGACATGACTAATAAGGTTTGGTAGGCCCCTCTCAACCTAATCATGACAATAATGCTGATGATCATGAAGCATACACTTACCTTTAATTGCAAAACAGCCATCTACCGTTGTCATCCATGATCAAACAAGTAAACACTAAAATGCGTGCATAAAACACTCAAACGTACTCGCACAATCATCTCGATCACTTATGATCAGCCGCAAATATCCAATGTCATGGTCATGTCATGTCATGGTCACAATGACACTTCCGGGTTCGTTTCGAATAGAGGGCGCTTGAAGGTTGTATCACGTGACTGAATTTCAAGATGGCAGCGACCAGGAGGTTGCAAAAGGTGATTTTATAATGCGTGTTTGAAGTGAATATGTAGAAATATTCTCTGGTAGAATAGTATTCAGATCAAGCTGTTAGATTAGTCTTTGTTCTTGATCTTTTCGAGAAAAGGTCGTGTTTGAGAAAAAGGCATTTTGTTGACAGTTGTTGCTATCGGTTTGTTTTTCACCCGTTGCCGGTCGATACCTCGTCCTTTCTTCTTTTCTATCACTTTATGTTGCAGAAAAACAATTCTGCCTGTTACTGGAATGTAGAATGTTTTTTTATTATCGATTTCCTCAACTTGGTTACTGATGAGTGAATGGCATTTGATACTCGTAGACTTTGTCTCCAACAAAAATTATTGTAAATGGAGTAATTTTTAAAAATCGAAACAAAAATGTCGTCATATGTGATATTTTAATATGACATTTGGGAAAACCCAGTGTCATCAGCCGGACTTGTAAATATGTACGGCTTGACTGTTATTTGTAAACTAATATATCCATTAGCACATTCTAGAATTGAAATAAACATGTGACCATCTGCAGTATGAGCTTAAGATTTTTAGTACACCCCTTTTTTCACAATAAACATGTTTGTAAGTATAACCACTAACTTTATGGCAGTTTCAAGCATGTGCAGTGTCGTACTATTGGCAGATTTCTGCCTCTTTGGGAGCCAAAAATATAATTGGCCTGGGCATCCCCCTGGACCCCATAATATATTTTCCAACTTTTTCACTAAATGGCAGTCTCATCCCTGTGTTTACTCTCTCGTGAAAACACTAAAATACACTGCAAGAGACAGAAAACTCAGACTGCAGATGTGACAATGGAAGATGTCACACTTTCTGGGGTGAGGGGTAAACTGAGGGCATGTGCAATATTTTAAATTGATTAATTACCTTACACAAGTAATTATTCAGCCTCTTTAGAGTGGAACCGTGACTTAATAGAGTAATGTTGTGATATTACATATGTAAGCTATTATATGATAGAATAGTATTTGAGCCAGCTTTTACTATTTCTGATAGATTTATGCCTTATTATCTCTATCTTTATCTTCTTAGGAGCTGACAGACTTGCGCAAAGCAGGACTGTCATGTTTTAGAGATATCATTGTTGACGAGAAAAATATGTTACAATGGCAAGGACTAATCGTACCGGTATGTATGAAAAAGTATAAATTATATTATAAAGAAGCAGATATTATTTTGATATCAGCTGTTTCGTGCTTGCATATGTAGGATCATCCAGAACCGCTGTGAAAACTGGGCTGTGGTGGTCACCAGCATAGAAACTGATCCAGATGTATACAAAACAACACAAATCTTAAGATTACCGTACCCCTGGTTTGTCATTCCCAAGGCAATGGTGCACTCATGCCCCTTTTCTGTGTCTGTGACGTTTTCTCCATGTAGTACAATTGGGTTCATTGTTCATCTTCTATTTACAAGTTAAATAATTAGATATGTCCTATTTTCTTCAATTACAATATATTTCTGTTAACTCATATTACATAGCTCCAATGCAGGCAGTTTGACAATCAAAGAGGATTTTTAAAATTTTTCAGGAAAGTGTTCCATACGACAAAGGTGCATTCCGTATTACGATTGATTTTCCTGCAGAGTATCCTTTCAAACCTCCCAAAGTGACGTTTAAGACCAAAATCTACCATCCAAATATAGATGAAAAGGGGCAGGTATGCCTTCCTATAATAAGTGCAGAAAACTGGAAACCTGCCACAAAGACAGATCAAGGTCAGTATGAGAGGATGTTTGGTAATGTAATTGTAATTTGATATAAACAATGTGCTATTAATGTTAATTCTGGGTAATGATTGATTCAGATCTTTTTGTTTGTTCACTGCATAGTATTAACTCTTACAGTGTTACCAGGAGTCATCATATTATATGTACTCTGTTACGTGAACTCACTTGTTATGTTAATGATTTACAAATATGTGCTTTCTTCTAAAGATTAAAGAAATCAAATTAAAAATTAAATTTAAACATGTCATATACAGACTTCTTGAAGAACCTGTAATATTATGCTGTAAGCAGAATTTGGATCTATTCCCTTGTTTTCTCAGTCTTAATGGAAATAACTTAAATCTAAAATTGAGCAAACCCCATTGATATGTTATAGAAGAAATTGTGTATTATGATGTGTATATTTTTCCAGTTATTCAAGCCCTAGTGGCATTAGTAAATACCCCTGAACCAGAACATCCTCTTAGAGCTGATGTAGCAGAAGAATACACAAAAGACAAAAAGAAATTTTTAAAAAATGCAGAAGAATTTACAAGAAAGAACAGCGAGAAGAGACCTGTAGATAAATAGTGGACAGATATGTACCTGTGATTTGCTATCTAAGGATTATTTAACGTGGGGAGTTGTACTGTGTACTGAACTTTAATTTAATTCACAGATATGATTAAAAAAGATGTTGGTCTGATCATAAAAGATGCTGGTCAAGCTTTGACCAACTTGCTTTTAGTGAGATTTATCAATACTTATGTTTTGTACTAGGGCCCAGCAGCATTTTCCTAAGTGGGTGCTAGACAGATGCAATATATATTAATCAAGTATTTATAGAAGTGGTAGTGTTTTGAAAAAATGATTTATAATTGGAAAATACACTAGATTGAGATCTTTCTTTTTCTCTTATTTTAAATTAAATTGCATCAGTAGGTGTAAGTGGAAGGGGAGTCTATAGAATTGTGAGGAGGACTCGGGGTACATATTTATGTGCCATATAAAGATGGAAAAAAGATGTTGATGCAGGTACAGCTGATGCTTAATAAGGATAAAACAATGGAAACTATCGAAACTAATTTGCCCTCTATTTTATGATTTTAAAATATTTCATAATTTTGTTCACATGCAGAACATTTTGAGAGACGGATTATTTTCAGCTTACCGCACTGACTTAATAAGTTATACAGTTGTCACCCGTAACCAGTATGTTCAGCAAATTTAGAGAATGTCATTGAAAAATCCATTATCAAAAGAAAATATTAAGTAACTAAGACTGAGGTTTTTAGGAACACGTACAGTGGCATGAAGGTTTATAATGTAGTCTAATGTAAGATGTGCTAATGTATTTGCCAATTAATATGTTCTGAGATTGTAAAACAGTAACTTGAGTGGTATTCATTCTAATTAATGAACCATGGGAATGGTGATGGTATCTCTGACTGAGAAACAAGTTTTGTTGAAAAGAATTAAAACTGTTGATGTTTGGATGTAAGCACAAGCACAGAAATGCACATAGAAACTTGTATACACGTACATGTAAGTCTTTTACCACATTCAACTCGAGTACCCCCACATGATGGGCCATATCTGTTATGTTCATGATATTAAGCTTAGCACACTACTTATGAATTGATCTGCCTACTATTTTTATGTGTTAGAAAGCTAGTAGGGAGTAGCACTATGTAAGTAGTATGGCAAATACATTTTATATTCATGTTGTTTTTTAATGTTTGAAAATTTGCAGATTCAAGATGTCTATGCACAACCTCTTGTTGAAATATTTGCAGTTATAAGACTAGTCTAGGCATGATAAGCAAGCTACCAGAGCAGTTTACTCTCATTATTTTCATTTGTGTTGTGCAATCATTGTTATATACTTATTTGTTCACTTAAAACAAGGTACTGAAGAAAAAAAAATATTTCACTTTCTCCCCCCCCCTTCCTGCCCATAGTCAGTGTAATACTTGCATTAACAAAGTGATAAATGTGCGAGGGGTTTACATGTGATGCCCAAAACTAGTTATCTTTTACATCAACACCATGGCCAATGTTGTTTATAACAGAGATTCTCTGGTTTGCATTGGGGCATCAAACATACATATTTAAATTTTATTTCAAAATCGGTTCTCTTGAAACATTTTGACAATTAAGATGAAATTCGTTTAGAGAGGCCCTTAGTATAATGTAGCATTCAAAGCTTTGTTATTTGGTTTGATATGTAAATGCATGGTGTAGTAGTCTTTTCTTGTTTGAGTGAATAAAATTTAAGTTCTGCAATGTTAACATTTTGTCATAAATTAAGCAGCGTAGGACGCATTGCATTGGAGAATTTTTTGTTTGTTTAAGTCTCATTGAAATAAGCAACCACTATTTTGATTTGATTAGGCTGAAAGTGGGTCGCATGATGTGCATTGAAGTGTCGTCTTCATTTTATGATCATGCTTTATACCTGTGACAGCAAGGCAATTTTAGTCCTTTTATACAGAAAAGCAATTTCTCTACTTGCACTTGCATGTATGGCAGCTAGAGGGTTTGCATGCATGTACTTGAAAAAGTCAAAATAACGAGAACACCTACAGCAATTGTCGCCCCAGTAAACGCATAAAAGGATTTTGCAAGAAGCAGTAGGTACGAATATTCATTGTGGTATGAATCGTAAAACCACTTGTTCATTTAAAAGCCTTCACTATGTTAACGAATTGATCTAAAGACTTTACGAGATAAAATACATCGTATGTTCAAAAAAGGAATTTTAAACCTCAGATATGGTAAAGGTACAAAGAGAACCTGAACTTGCAGAAGCTTCGTTTCCTGTGGTTTTAATGTAAAGTTGAAATGTTCATTTATCCTAATGGCCTATTCTATAGCCGATGATAATTTATCTTTGTGTTTTTGTTTGTATTTATTCCTAATAATTTCAATGTATATATACTAGCCCAAAAAGAAGAAACGCAAGTTTTCGTATCGACCACAGTGCTTCAAAATGCCAAAATATGCACGTGTTTGTATGGTCACTGTATTTAATGACAGAACACAACCTCAGTCCTGCAGTAGAGTACTAATACAATTGAGTGATTCCAGGCAATATCGCTAGTTTTAAATATTCAGACAACTCACAAATTGGGACAAAAGTCTTGCATAATTCAGTTGTCCACTATCAATGCTAGTGGACACTTGTATCAGAAAACCTAGTTTAGAAGACTGAGATCCATGCTGACATCATTTCACGCTGTCAGATCTGGACAGTGGCCGTGCCTCTGGTCATTGTCGTCGGCACAGTGTTAAGGTTTTGGCGGGCATAAGTGACAATTTCCAGACAGAACTCGTGGTGATTGTGCCATTCATGCATCCACACCAAACGTCCGTTCCCATACGGCCAGGATAGCACAGGCGTACATACAGGAGGAGCAGCATCAAACTTTTCTTTAGACCAAACTTGTCTCCCATTGAAAATGAATGGGAAGAACTGACGAACGACTTCATTACCACCAGCCACTGCCTACCAATGTCATAGAGCGTAGAGCTGCACTGGTTGAAAGATGGAGAAGGGTGACTCATAAAACCTTAGACAGAACAAAACAAGCTTTTCTTTTTTCGATCAGTATATAAATGAAAATTCACACTGTGTACTTTTAAGTGCACGGACGTGAATTTCAAAACGAATCCTTTATATTATCCATCAGGATATGTTATACACCTCATATCTTTTTTGTATATTCACACTGGTCCATTGTAGCTAGCTTATACAAGGTTAGACCTCAAGGAATTTAAACCAAATGGGAGTTTTAAAAAGTAAACACGGTATGACACTGTTTAGTGTTACTGGAATGAAGTAAGCATTCCGAACAGTGTTCTCCATCTAGAATTATAAGACATTAGGTGTTCCGAACAATGTTTTTCAACTCGCATTATCGACAGAAAATGTTATTTGCCGTTTTGAAAACAATGTTGTTCAAATACAGATAAAATTTAGGAATTTTCATCAAAGGCAAATGACACATATATCAGATAGGGCCATATTTGGCATGAGTTACAACAATAAGCTGAAACGAACAAAAACACTCACTCAGTAAAAGCCAAATGCATTTTTTTCATCGAAGTGATTACCGAATTGTTACAGAACTTTGTCATCAGTTACCCTACATGTCTCGTTAAAAGCTCTTTTATGGTTCTCTTAAATACAATTATCTCTTTCGAGTGGTGAAAATCAAGGTATGTGCATGTCCTAGAAATCAATCATCAGGTGATAATAGACTATATAAATGCTTTTGAGTAGATAATTGAGACTCCTGTCTAAGTAAGCGTAGGAAGATTTAAGTATGGCACTGGGGGTTTTCCTAGGTCAGGGTATGTGGCATGTTACAGATATAGAAGTGGTGGTTGTAGAGCAGGATAATGAAATTGAGATACTCATCTCGTCTTGGTCCCATTATATATTTGATCCAAACAAAATAAACGCAAACGCTATTTTGAACATAGATCAATTGAATTTAAAATGTCTTTTACAATACAAAAGGCACTTCCTTACATTCTTTTCCTGTGATCAATCAATACAATACAATATTAATCCGGCAGTTAAATTATTGGACGAGTGAGGTTGAAGACAGAATGTTGGATTGCTAAGTCACTAATGCCAAGAAAAGTGCTACCCCGTGGAACGACCGAAGTTGTATGTGTTCAGCCGTTCAACGAGGAAACACTTTTCTCACCATTGATTATTTAAGTAAGTTCCTTGCTTCAAGAGAATGGACATGCTTTTAGCATAGTTACATGGCACTCGGATTACTGAAAAAAAAATCAAGATCTCTCACGTTTCTGATAGGAAGCATCTCAGACCATTTAGTTAAAATAAGATCTTGTAGAAGTAGCTAAATCTTATTTGGCAGTTAAGATCAGGCAGATTGTCTTATTTAGACACATTTTACCGCTGTTTCTACATTTCAACACTCCTGATTAAATTTTTGCTGAATGATGGGGAGGTCCGTTTTCCTGGCTGACCTTGAGTATTTTTAAATTTGATCTTATTTAATTTTAATTGCAATATGGAATAACAAAAACTGTGATAAGATTATCATCGTTTTAAAAATGTATATGTTACTTAAGAGACCAGGCATGGAGAGTGGCATGAATCATTTAACAAGTTACCCAGTTAGCCAGTGCTTTAATTGATTTTTTTAGATCTTCTAGCTTGGGATTTGTAATCATGACACTGCACTACATTGCCTAATCTCCATAAAATTATCATCCATATGCGTCTAGGAAATCATACACAGTTCAGGGTCTTGCGGCTATGCGAATTTATTTATAAACTACCCCGTGGTAATTACGCACAAGTGGATTGGGTTACAACTGTACAAGGCTGGGACAACTGTGCAACAGGAAGAATCTTAGTATTCAGTGAGATGTGCCTTTTCAAACTTGGCTCAGAGAAAACCAGAGTTGTCAACGGCGATCCTAGATGTTACTGCTTGTATTCCCTTATACATTTTACCTCTTTTCATAACAAACAAACATATGACTAACAAAATATAGAGGGGGGGAGCAAGCAAAGAAAAGGTAATGAAATAATAAAACCCTAGAAAAAATTAAACATAGGTTTACAGAGAAATTCTCATACTGGCGTCACAACGTGAAATAAATGTCAGAAACCTGACGATAATTCTATCTGATTAAAACGAACTAGTGTCAAGATTTGCATGGGTTAGGAGATGTTCAAGGGGATTGTTTAGGTGCTTAAACTTGTTACAGGTTACCTAGTAACCAATAATTCTATAACTTCGACAGTCGTCGATCAATACTGAGTGCCACGTAGAAATATGTAATGGCCCACTGAACAGTAAGGGGAAAGATAACCTGTATAGGGAAAAGAAAAGGGAGATAACTTACACCATGGCATGTGTATAGAACATCTTTACCCAAATATGCAGGGTTTTTATTAATATGGATCGTTGAATTTGTAGTAAATACTACTTTTATTAGTGCTTTCAACCAATGTTCTAGTCACTCGTCGGAGGTGTAGCATGCTACTGGTATACTGCCATTGAGTCAAAGGTAGAATGTATGGAAGAGTTAATAGCCAGTTAGCGAGAAAGACAGGTACCTCTTTGCAACCCCACAAATTGAAATATGTGGTATTTTTTTGTAAATTATACACTAATGTAATAAGAACTACGTAAATGGTATTACTAAACATTATTCAATGTTAACTGCTAATCTACATCATTTTTATATCAGAGGGGCATTACAATAAATGCGGCCTTCATCGGCCAAATTTCAAACAACATTTTTGTGTTTGCCTTTTATTGCTACTTTTGTCAAGTTCCATTAATTGGGTTTGTATAGATCGAGGAGATATGAAAATACGAAGGTTTGCTTCGTTTTTTTTCGTGTTAGACGCTTTGAAAAGGCATTCCGTGGTAATCTGTCTCCCGTTTAACGGAATGTTTTGTTCAATGAACAAAAAGCCAAATCTGGTGACATAAATATCGCACCATTTGTATGAACAATTCTCTAGGTGACATGGGGTAGGACTTAGATAAAAACTGTTTATGGTTAATAATCTGTCAAATAACAAGTGATACGCTTTCTTCCATGTGCATTGTAAAGGTGTCATCGAACGTCCCTCTGGCTGTCAAGTTGCTACCACGGGTGCTACTATGGTGAAGATATGGGAGCAACGCCAGAAGATTGTTCATCTCAGAGAGAGGGGCGTAAGCGTCACTCAGGTAGCTGGTGGAAAATGGTGATGGCCAAATGTTACCACAAAGTGGCTAACGGAAGAAGACGAGTAGGCCTACAAGAGACAACTTGCTATCAAAATTTTGAAGATTTGAGCCGTGAAGAGAACACGCGTGTTTCCCTTCAAGGCAGTCCGCTTCAATAATTGTTTGGAGCTACATCGAACATGATCGAATACTGCGGTATTGATGAACTGGCACTGCAGGTTAATGGAAACCTACAACCTACAACTACAAGCTCTACATTTGAATTCTGTACCAACACCTTTTGATATCGATAGAAAACATCTTTGGAGACAGGAGTTATTTCCCAGGATGATAATGCAACACTTCACTGGGTCAAGGCAGTTCAAGCGTAGCTTCATCAACAAGGCACAAAAGGATGGACTGGACGCCATAAGAAGGATGGTGATCATTTTCAGGTCACTTGGCTGTCACCCAAAATATCAATACTATAATGACATGATTTATGAAAGCACGGGTCTGTAAACTTACATGCATAGTAAAGGTATTCACATGACATGATCAAATTTTGATAAAATACAA